AGCCGACCAGGTCCTGGTGCTGCCGGCTGAGGTGGTGGCGAGGCAGATCTTCGACCCGGTGGTGGATAAGATCACGAGGCTGATGGGTGATGTGATGGACGAGGGCAGGCGCAGGGGCAGCCCCTGCAGCAAGGTACGGGCGATTTAGGACAATCAACGGCTGGGCTCTGCGCGCTCCCTTCCTCTATTAGGTCAGCTGATAGTAACCAGACTTCCTCCCCATGCATAGAGCCGTGGGGTACGTCGATTAGGTACGTCGGGCCGTGTGGCCATCTGTGGCCAATGTAGTCTGTTGTTACACCGGCCGTCGTTTCATTAGACGCTTTTAATTGTAAGCCCCAAGAGATCAACGACTGTCCCTGCCGTGTATACAGGTGCTGCTGGCGGGCGGGTTCGCTCGGTCGCCCCACCTTCAGAGTCGGGTGCGCGAGGCGCTGTCGGCGACCACACCGCTGCTCATCCCCTCGGACCCGGGGGCTGCGGTGGTGACGGGTGAGGAGAGGGGAGACTTGCTACAGGGAGAGAAAGAGGGATGGAGGGATGGAAGGAGGGGGAAAATAGGGCTCTGGTGCGGACGAGAGCTTAGCTGCTGGGCAAGTGCTTGGCACCGGATGAGCTGCTCAGGTACCAGGCACCCCTGACCGTCCCGCAGCCTCTTGTCGCTTGAGCCTTGGAGTGGCATTTGCAGTGCAGGGATATAGGGTTCTGCTGGGATAGGCCCATGCGTTTTCACACGCACCTTCGCTCGCCTCACATCCCACCCGTCCATCATCACAGGCGCTGTGGTCTTCGGGGTCCGTCCCTACATGATCTCCAGTCGCCGTGCCCGCGTCGGATACGGTACCACCTACTCGCGACGCTGGTCGCATGCAGACGCACTTCATGCGGCTCGCTTTGGATACCCAGAGAAGTTTTGGCACGCGGAGAATAAAACCTACTATGCCCGTGGGTGGTGCATTACCTAGCTGTACTAGACCTTCATTTGCCGTTGCCGTTGTACTTGTCGGCACAAGCCGGCCGGCCGCAGTGATGGGACGGTGTTTTGAGGGTTGCCTGTGTAAGGAATGAAAAGTGATTGCAGATGAGATAGAATGAGGGTTGCCGTGCAGTTGTACGGCTTACGGTTGTCGTACCTTGGCAACAGGCCACAGAGAATAGAGAAACCGATCCCGGTTCGTGCAATTTCAAAATTGTCCAGGGAATGTTTATTCGAGCTTCGTGGAGCCTGGTCAGCTGGTGGGTGTGAACGAGGTGGTCAAGCACGACTTCATCCCACTCTACAGGCAAGCAAGCGTGGTTCCAACCCTTTCTCGGTCTTCTCGCTTGTCGTTTTGGTTTCCTTGCAGCTATTTATAGTCGATTTCCGTTGTCAGTCAGTACTGCCCCGAACACCTTTGCTCACGAGCTCACATTTCACGCAGCACCTCCACGGAGGTCGTCTTGGAGCTGTACTCCACCACTGCCGACTATATGCGCTTCACTCGGGACCCCGCTGCACAGCAGCACGCAAAGATCCGGCTGGAGCTTCCCCGCGTCGATGGTGTCAGGCAGAGAAACCGGCTCTTGGAGGTAGGCGTTTGGCGCGGCTAGCAGAAATCTGGCAGGTGGGAAACTGGGCAGGATCGAAGGCCTCCTTGGCTGCTTGATGGAAGCTGATGCGAAGAGGATCGGCCGGTGTGTGCGCTGTTTGCTCGGTCAATCGTCTGAACTCGGCAGGGCACGCACGCACAGTCCGTTTCATCTTATAAGGTTTGGCTTAACGCTGCCTGTCTTAACGCTTTCTTTAAGCCTGCCTACCTACCTGCCTGCCTGCCTGCCTACTGCCTACCTGCCTAACTGCCTGCCTGCCTGCCTACCTGCCTGCCTACCTACCTGCCTACCTGCCTGCCTACCTGCCTGCCTACCTACCTGCCTACCTGCCTGCCTGCCTGCCTGCCTACCTGCCTGCCTACCTACCTGCCTACCTACCTGCCTACCTGCCTACCTGCCTACCTGCCTACCTGCCTACCTGCCTACCTGCCTGCCTACCTACCTGCCTACCTGCCTGCCTACCTGCCTGCCTACCTACCTGCCTACCTGCCTACCTGCCTGCCTGCCTACCTGCCTGCCTACCTGCCTGCCTACCTACCTGCCTACCTGCCTACCTGCCTACCTGCCTACCTGCCTACCTGCCTACCTGCCTGCTTGCCTACCTGCCTGCCTACCTACCTGCCTACCTGCCTGCCTGCCTACCTGCCTGCCTACCTACCTGCCTACCTGCCAACCTGCCTACCTGCCTACCTGCCTGCCTGCCTACCTACCTGCCTACCTGCCTACCTGCCTACCTGCCTACCTGCCTGCCTGCCTACCTGCCTGCCTACCTGCCTACCTGCCTACCTGCCTACATGCTATGCGGTATATTTGTGCTGACACAACGCTACTAGATGCATGGGCGTGTTTGTGAGGTGTCAGTTCGTGCATGCAGCCGAACTCTTTTCGGAGCCGGCGAATCATTTCACTGGAGGTGAACTACAGTGTGTGTCGGTATGTATACTTACGTCATCTTTCCCTGCCTCCCTTCGTGTTACTCGGCAGGTGGAGATGCGTTTCGGCGCCACGGAGCTCTCCATGGCGGCCACCGACGTGAAGACCAGGAACGCAGTCGCCACCACCATTTGCTTCGATTCAGTGTCTGCCTGATGCTTCAGTAAATCCAATTTATTATGCACCCGTCCTGGAGGAGGTAGCAGTTGGCGGTTGACGGTTGGTGCCGCCTTTTAAAAGTGGGAATGGGTCCAAAGCTGCAGCTGCAGCCCAATGATCAGCCCAATGATCAGCTGATCACTGGGGAATCACCCGTACGTACGGGATCCATATACATAGCTACGTACGGGTTATGCAGCTATACAGTGGTGGAGTTCGTTCGATTGAACGTTTGTAACGCTGTCATCTTGGCGGCGCGGACCTGGACATCATCTGATTGCTTGCGTAGTTTTTTGGGCAAGGCCCCGGGCGTGAAGCGCCATTCGGGGGGCCGAGCCCCCTGGGTTCACTGCTGTCCGTCCGTCCGTCCGTCCGTCCATCATGGTGTAACATTTCATCTTATCTCACCCCTCTTTAAATTGCTTCTGAAAGCTATTCTAATTCGATAGAGAATTAATTGTGGCTTTGCGACACACCATCAGCTTTGCTGCTGCATAAATGCGCAATTGGCAGGGCTCGGGCCGAAACGTAATCCTGCCGAAACGTAATCCTGCCGAAACGTAAACCTGCCGAAACTAGTTTCGGTGTTTCCGACGAAGAGGTCCTGGTTCTGCGGAAAGACCGAAACTAGTTTCGGCCTCTTTCGGCTAGCGCCGTACGGCAGAACCTACTTTGAATAGTTTCAAAGCGTAGGCGCGTTATGCAAGGCTGCGAAACTCTGCGAATGTTGAGTTTATCTTAACAATGTCTCAGACAACTTCCGTTGTGAGTGCAGACACAGAGCAGGTCAAAAACAAGGGCGGAAGGCCCGCTGATCAGACCGTTTGGGCTCACTTTGAGAAGAAAGAATATAAAGCAAAGTCTAAGAACAGGATTATCATCTGCAAGTACTGCCGGATCGAGTTCAAGCAAGGGCGCCTTCAGGAGATGCGCATACACATTGCTCAAGTGTGCAGGTCCAGTCCCGCCTGATGTTAGGCACGAGCTGCTGACAGTAGTGACCTCAAGATAATATATGAAAGGGATTGGACTCCGGTTCTGGTTGGTATGTCAAGATAGTTACACTGATGGCCGACTTAACAACTAACGAGAAAACTTAACATGCCCCCCTGCTTAACACAAGCATCGGCCTCGATGCGATCAAAGTATGCTAAGTCGTGCGCCGCTCCGATTCCCTAAGCGAAAGCGGTACCAGGCTAACGAGGGGAAGGCAAAAGGAAACCGGAGTCAAGGCAAACCATATATACATATGGCAGGCGGCTGGCAGAGGTTAAGGCCTGACTTCTGCTCCCAGTCGACCCAGTCGACCCGGGTTCAAATCCGCCTGCCGGCTCCTCGGGTGTTTGAGGAGTGATGAAATGGGAGGTGGCCCCCCATCTTATGGACGGTGTAGGACGTGATAATATCAACTTGCGAGCTGACCAGGAACTAAGTTGATGCGCCGTTGATCCGCTAGATTTGGTTGGATGCTGGTGGTGAGTTGCCGAACCCAACGAATACATTCTGAAGTCGGATGGGGTGACGGATTAGGGTGCCCCTCTAGCAGGGGAGAGCAGGGACTGCCCCGGGAAAGGGGGCCGCTGGCGAAGTTAACCACCCTGTAACAACATACATACATACCCTAATGAACGTGCCCAAAACATCCACAAAGAGTGCGCAAACCATAAGCCCAAGGCACAGAAAAGCAGACTCGGTGGATGATAAAAAAAACCAAGAAAACGCGAAAGTACACGACATGCAATACACAGCAACCCGAAGAAAAACAGAAGTCAAGACACGACTCGCGCAAAACAGAGGCGAAATAACCCAAAACTGAAACACATAGGACACGAGTCACACACGACACACATCCTACACGTAGCACTAGGTTGTCACGAAATGCACTATCCTCAGGGCGCGTTCCAGAAACTTCACTCTGAACCAGGTGTAGCGGTCTGACAGATAAACGAGGTCCAGGCTGGGGTCGCCAGGAAGGCACGAAGTGCTGGTAGGCTGCGGACGTCATCGTACGGTTCCCAGGACGCATCACGGCCACTGGCGGTAGACCACTGAACTAGGAACATGACGGACGGGCGACCATGTTTGTTGTAACCTAGGCGAACAGCAGTAACAGTAGTGTTGGCGTAGTTGTATGGGGACTTACGCCGACCCGAGCGCTGGCACCCAGTGACGTCGCAATGCTTCATTGAAACAATGCCATTTAATTTCTTACACTACTATAGTGTAAAATTACAAATAATATGTGCCCGCCACGGGGTGGTGGCTACTAGAGTAGTAGAAAAGTTCGTCTACTGGAGTAGTAGCCAGAGCATTTACGGCTAAGATAGTTGGAACGATCCTCGAATGCGCTCTGGCTGGGAACGGACAACAATTGGTCCATGAAGGACGGGCACTTTGGCGCGCCTTGAACTGCCAGCCAGCAGACCGAAGGGCCGGCGTCGAACAAAGATGCAACGGTAGTACCACCTACGTATCGGGCAGTCCCGACTCATATGGATGTGGCGCAGCAGCGGCAACACACGTTGCCGCAATGACACTCCTGCTTTGTGTGTATCTCATTCTACGGACTGCCGCATCACGAGAAGGCTAACTGTTCAGTCAATAATGCTTATGCTATGGCAGCTGTGCGCATGCGACGATCCAGACAGGTCTATGCCGCCGTCCGCAAGCCTGCCAACCTTTACTGTTTGAAAACTTCAATAACAAGTGTGTACTCCAAACGTGGCGGCGTTCTTGTGCTTGCATTCCTATGCCGTACGGACTGCCCTGCCAATCAAACGGGGGTCAAGTGGCTGCACCGGGGCCGAGCCCCTTTCCGGCTTTGGAAAGCCGCCCCCCTAGTTCTTGACCCGGGCGCTACCTGGAGGCTACCAGGAGGACGGCGGCCAACTTGCATGGGAGCTTTCCACTCGCTGCATCTGAGGATCATTCATTACAGCTCGTTCATGCATGTATTACACAACTGAACACCTTGCGCACACGCACCACCCACTGCCAAGCGATCCAGGCGTTGTGCAGAGGCGTGTCGTGTCGTCAAGGACACCTAGCTAGCTATAGATCATCAACACTTATTAGGAGCCTTAGGGGCTCACACGGCAGTGGTAACAAAACGAAACAACAATAATAACAAGACAGTGGTAACAAAACGCAGTCGCAATTCTGGACGTCCTGGGCAAGAATTGCCCAGGACGTCGGCAACCGATCTGCTGCATAGTGGAAAGGGCGGTTGTGTCCGGCAGGCAGTGGAGGATTAACGACATGTAGTGCTAGATTGCTCTGTGTATGCGATTTACCGGGCCACCTTTGGAACGCGGGAGCAGATCCAGGAGACCCATCAGGGGCGTTGGTAACCAACGCGGGCTGGCACACGTCCTAGACTACATTCGGGACGCAGGTCGTAATATCTCCTTGGTGTTAAGATTTTAGTTCTTGAGACATATACCCCGCTTTAAGTTTGCAGATATCTGTTTTTACTTCTTTACTTTGTTTCCAGCTCGGCGGTACGTGAGCCTCTTACTTGTTTGGTCTGTACAGGGGTTATTTTCTTGTCTTGAGTAATTGCCTTACCGCTTAGGGGTCGTACAGACGGAGGGGTCCCTGCAGGCAGGAAAGTTGTGCTTGCTTCCGTGGGAGGGGGCGAGCCTGGGTACCGAGCGACTCTGCTTCTGAAGCCTGTAGATTAGGCAGAAGCTGCAGCGGAAACCTGTCAGTACTCTGACGCTATGAACTCGCGAAATTACTCTTTCCCTCGCACTCCTGCTACTTATCCTAGCCCTGTACGGTCCAGCCGTACGCACCAACTACATTCAACCGAGTACGCTCCCGGCAAATACACAGAAAACCTTGGTTTTCTTTCGTTTCACTCAGAAAACCTACAGTTTCCTTGTTGGCGCCCTTCCTTTGCTATCTCCGCAACCACCCACTTGGAAAACATCTGGACTGCAATTGGGAGGGGTACCATTGCAGTGCCGTATGGTATATACTGCTATGCCGTGGGAGACGGTCGTGGTTTGGAAAATAAGGATGCGCTCTCCGGTATGGTGTTTCAGCCACCAGCCGCCAGGGCCAGAAAACGTTACAGGCTGCGAGTAACGCCAGCCACTGCTATGTGTGCTATGTGTGAGCCCGCCTGAGGCCCTTTACTCGTACACGAGTCCGTACCGGGCCCGACCCCGGATAGACAAAAGACAAAGACGATATACGGATGACAAGCAATGATTTAAAAAACCAACCGCAGGTCCGCCTGGGCTTGCTTTCCCCATGTAGAGAACATGTGTGTGCATGTGTGTATAGCATGTGCGTGTGTGCGCATGTGTGCGTTACATGTGCTATCTTGCGTGTGTGTGTTGCTTTCATTCAGTTGTTACTTTCACGCCAATTGGAACAGACAAACTGATGCTGCCGGGTGAGCTGGCGCAAACCTATCCAACCATACCTGCCCCAAATAAGGCTGATTTCCGCACCCGTGCGCCAGCCGCACTCCTTCCAAAGTCCTCTACCAAAGGGTTGGTGCATGTAAATGTGTGCCTTGCATGAACAGCCCCAGCAACCTACCCCTTCCCCACTCAGCGGCTAGACCGTTCCCATACCCACGTCACCACCTCCTCCTTCAGCAACACCCACGGATCACCCGATCCGCCACCACCATCACCGGCGACGGCGGCACCCCCTGCCCTCACTCCATCGCCACTCAGCTCGCCCTCCTGCCGCTGCGCGCTTCTGGCAGGCACGGCAATCCCACACGCCTGCGCCTCCTTGATGTCGTACCGTACACCGGGCTGCACGCTGCACAGCACGCCACCGCCAACAGCCTTGCCTTTGCCGTGCCAGGTGTACTTGGGCTGCAGCCGCACACGGCGGCTCTCGCCCTGGCTGGCGCAATCTAGGGCCGCGTGGGCGGCCCTGTGCTCTTCCACCAGAGGCGTGGCGACATACAGCCGTAACAGCGGGTGTGCCGCTTGTACAACAAGGCCCACTTGCAGAGCATGCAGCAGCAAAGCATGGAGCGCCGCATCGTGCTTCACAGCACTTTCGATGCCTGGAAAATTCACCAGCCAGTTCGCCAGCGCTTTCACCATGCTAATCAGGCTCGACCGCACGGCCTTGACGCCGGCATCCTTCACGCTCTGGTGTTCCAGGTCCGCATACCAGCCCCTGCCGAAGCACCGCCCACTCGTCTCCTGCCTGCGAGCCTCCGCCTCAGTAACCAGGTGCACCACTCGCCGCATGGTGGGTAGCCACCGACGGGCCGCGTGGCTGCGTAGCAGGACCAACAGGTTGCGCTCCTCAGGCCCGGAGGGCACTGGCAGCGAATCTAACAGCTTCAGCGGGGTGCAGCCGAAGTACGAGAGTGGGTCCGGCCAGAGGTGCACGGTCATCCAGTACAACAACATGTGGCCTAGGAAGGAGGGCCTCTGCGCTCGGAGCGCGTCTCCTGGAATTGCTCGCTCCGCGTGGTCGGGTAATGCAGCCTCGATTGTGAGGTTGATCAGTTGGTCCGCCACGTTCAGCAATTGCTCGTTGTGGCACAGCTGCAGCCGACAGGGGGGCAAATCAAAAGGTTGCCCTCAGCAGGCTGCATGTCACACAAGCACCAGCGTGCAGCTAATACCACTATACTTGATGCGTAAGCAAAACGTCTTAGGCCTGCTCGTGCGCGGCTTCTACATAAGAGCGTATCTGAACACACAAGAACACCGCAACAAAAGGATCGGTACATAGGTTATGGCATGGGAACGCACAGGGCAGCGCTAGACCTGGCTCGCTTTGAAACCATTAACTTAAGGTTTGGGCATGTATACACACGGCACTCGATGCATACCGCGAAGCCTTTCGTAAGGACCAAATCCATGCAAAAGGAATGTCAACCGTCATGCGTCAACCGTCATACGATGTAATCATGTGGGCTTAGGCTCCTAACCCGTGACCCAGTGTACGGCAGAGTAATAAGCCGCTGTCTACACTGCACAAACCATCGACTGCCCACTACCCTCACGCCGTGTTCATCACTATCCACTACTGCTGCGGGTCATCAGTCAAGCATGTTTGCCAAGCAGCGAACCCTAATCTACCCCACTCACATGTGCGAGGTTCGTGCTGAACTTGTGCAGCTCCAGCTCGATGTCGCTTCGCGTGAGGCCCACTTCCAGATCCGCTTCCACCAGCAAATGGGCTGGATCCAGATGAAGCACCGGGGGAAGGGGGCGGGGGAGGATGAGGGGTCGTGGTGCGGCTGCCGCGGTCGGGGGAGATGTGGGAGCGGATACCCGTGGCTGATGCTCGTCCACCTCCATAGGCCCCGCAGGCCGGTTGTCATCACGGCCAGCAACGCCACCGGTAACAGCGGCAAAGGACATCGCCTCGGCCACCTGCTGAAGCGGATCAGCAGTAGCCTGGTGTGCACCGTAGCTGTGCTGTTGCTGCAATTGCTGCAGCTGCTGCTCCAATGCGTGCTTTGACTGTTCGGCCTCCTCCAACTGCGCAGGTGAATAAAGCGACACGGTAGTAAGTCAAATGTTTGCCAGAACTCATTTTTATGTAACCAATGCCGCGTACCTAGCGCGGGTATCATATTCTATCTGCTTATATGACAGTGAGATCTGGGGACCTGACGCCCTAGATGAAGCTCTGTCACGAACCACCAAGCGCCGTAACCAGCCGTAACAGCCTGGCGGAGGGTCTTTTCGAGAGCTATCTGATTGACCCTAAGCGGAAGCTGCAGGTAATGTACATGCGCCGAATATTAGGAGCTGCACGGCCCCCGCACAGTCTGCTGCTTGTTGAGCTCTCGCAATCTCCCCTACACTACTTTGGGGCCTATCGATGTTTTGGATTCAAGGTGCACCACCACGTGGTTACCCAGCCGCAAAGGTAGTTATCCAGCATAGTCTTCGAGTGTGGCCACACGTACCTCTTGGCGCAGTCGCGTGGTAACGGACGTGCGTTCATCCTCCGCCTCTTTTAAGCCGCTCTGCACTCGGGTTTTATGGATTTAATATTAGGCCTAACATATATGTTAGGAAATTTATACATCTCAATTTTAATTATGCTTTTTTCATAAACCAAATAATTGTGGTGCGCCGCTACCTACGAACCGAATACGTGCTAGTTCGACAAAGATGGTGTTTGACTTTCATGATTTCCAATGTTAAAAGTCTAGGTTTGTATCTTAGGACATTACCGGGTCCGTGCTATACAGCTACCACCCTGCAGGGGTACAGCTGTACCCCTATCCTTCATGCACCGTATGCACGGACGCACGTACCTGTAGCTTCTTCTTCTCCTCCGAAACCTCCTTCAACTTGGTCTCCAGCTGCCGTACCTACGACAAGAGGAACATAGGGCCCAGCAAAAGAAATGTGACGCAGCAGGGACGCGCGAAAGCACAACATAAATTCACGTCACCATATCAGCTTTCAGACATTATCAGATGGCATGAGCGAGCGTGTACCGTCCGGGTTTGCATACTATTTGCGTGTTGCGCCAAGAATATGTTTAGAACACACATCATCATCATCATCATCAGCAGCAGCAGCAGCATGGATTGTAACTACTGCTGGTTGACCAGGGACAGGTAGGCACCGACAAGACCTAGAATAAACTGCTTTCACATTTGCAAGAGCCTCCCTGCCATCACCACCATCGGGACGTACGATTATTGTTGGGCAGGTAGTTAGGGTTAGTTGCACCGCCATTGATATTGATCTTTGAAGGCACGGTAGAATCTTCCGGTTGGTCAGCAAGGGCCCGCCGTGAAAGACCTCCTTTCCTGTGAGATTGCTGCTGCGATAATGCCGCATCGCAAACTGTCTGCCTGCCTTCCCGCTACCCAACGGTCCTGGTTGCACAGGCTTCCTCTTCTGGTTCTCCTGACCGTTCCTGTAGTTGCTGTTTTACAGTACGGCACACACTGCCTAAGAATACGCGCTCAGGCGCTTTGCCAGCATCTTGAGAGGCCATTTCAGCGGCCAGCTACCACAACTTCAGTAACCACTCGCACTGTTGTAGCCTTCACGTTTCCGTACTCCATCCCAAGACGTAGCTTGAATGCCCACCCCTGCCATGCAAAGATATTGACGCACCTGCAAGGCCAACTTCTTAGTCTGTGCCTCTACCTTTTCAACACATGTTGCCTCAGTCCGAGCTGCCTCCAACAGTTTACGCGCCAGCTCTGCATTTTCAGTTGCCAGTTGAGCCGACTTGTTCCGCAGCTCCAAGGTCGTCGTGACACTGCGGCAGAGCAGCGCCAGCGCCTCCTGCTCCTCCGGCGGCTTGGCGGAGCTCGACGCCATTACTCCCGGAGGCGGCGCGTGAAGCCGAGCCTCCGAGACGGCGGTGCCAGGAGACGAAGTAAAGAGCAGCCTGCAATTGGCGGGCGGCATCTGCCTAATTCAATTGAAGGATTCGCTCATACACGACTCCACACACCCGACTCATCTTTGACGGTCAGCCAGGGTCAAAATACACTACACGTGTGTGTGTGTGTGTGTGTGGTGTGTGTTACATGTTCGTGGGGTACGTTCCCCGTACCTGCAAACCGCCCAATACGAGCCGAGGGCTCAAGGGCTGCCAGATCGCCTACCGCACACGGACGTCCGACATATTCGTGCGCTTTACACGCGACAGACAGTCAATTTCGCGAGGAATGAAGCTGTGAAGCAAGAGCCACCCTCCCATACATGCATGCCCAGGCATTCACGCACGTACATAAATACATAAATACATACATACACACTCTTCTAGCTTTCAATCCAGGAAGAAATGGAAAGTATGTACTTCAGTCTTCGGGGTAGCGGCCACGGGTGAAGATATATATGGTCCCCTGTCCACACATCATACACGCGTACGCAAGTTATGGCGCCACGTGCGTGCGTGTACGTGTCTTTTTTGGGGGCATAGCAAAGTGGCCCGCCCCAGATAACTTGATTCTAGTCAAATAACTGACGCTACCTCCCTCACCTCAACAGCTGGGCCAGGACGGCGCTTGCGCGATACCAGCGAGAAGCGAGAGAAAAACACGCGGTTCTCGCTGTTGGATATGTGCGTGACTTACGAGTAGTCACAGAGATGCCGGGCGGCCGCGGTGAGGTGAAGTTGTCGTTGCTTTGGCGTAGTAAAAGGTATCGCTGTGTTAGCGGTAAGAACTGATAAGTTACCGGAGGGATTCGCTTTGCCAAGGTCTGAGCTCTTATCTAAATAGTAACAAAAACGTATGTTTCTGAACTCCCATCCGACCCAGGCTGGAAATATTCGCTGCCTGGGAGGCCGCAACGACTTCTGTCGTAATGTGTCGCTTCAGCTCACCTGACGGTTGTCAAGACCGAGGCAGACCGAGGTGTCTGTAGAAATTATAAATGAATGTGATTCCTTAATTAGGAAACGCTTTATAGATTCCAAGACGTTCGTAAAATGTTCATAGATTAGTCTTGATCAAGTCATATCTTAATCGGTTTGCGATCGATAATCCCAAGGTACGATAGCCCAATCGCCGTCCGCAGCATATTGATCGGTTGACATCACGGGTGGCGCCACGGGTGTCTTGAGATGACAGATCTTAGCCTTTTTCCTAAAAAAGCTTACGTTAAGATCCGCTGAGGGGGCATGCGCTGTAACAATCCGTTACTCAAGGTTCCCTGTCCCTCGCTACGAACTGCGACAAATAATGGAAACCACCCTGTAGCGATCTAGCGCACAGGGCATCTAACATGGCTTGTCATTCAGTATTCTTTTCATCAAGCATTCCAATCTGCGCTGCCGGGCTAGTGCTGCAATACTGTCCAGGGACCGCTGACCGCTGACCGCACTAGTCCTTGGCGGTTCGTGTGAATGCTGCCTGATGCTGCCTGGCTACTAAGTTCCTTCGCACACCTCCTCTGCATTGGCACTGGCTACACAACGGCGATAATCTAGCCAGAACCTGCTGCCAGAACCTGCTGTGGTAATATTAACCCTGCGCGCCAACAGGTCAGCAACATCATGGCAATCTGCAATTCATTTACATGGCATGATTTCTCCTTTCCTTACTAACAAATCGAAAGCGTGTCCTTAATTATTAAATAGAGATGCACCTATTCCTTGCTTCTGTACCTGCTATCTATCTATCTATTCAGGTCACACATGTCGCTCCCGACGGCTTCTGTACCCCCGGCGGTGACCGCGGCGCCGCCACCCAACCTGGTCATCGGAATCGACTTCGGCACGCACGCCTCAGGGTTTGCTTTTTACAAGCGAGCTCATGCTGGGGCTGGGGCTGGGGCTGCTGCTTCTGCCTCCGGCTCCGTGTCGGCGGAAGTGTTCCCCCGGGTGTCCACACATGACCGCTGGCCCGACCAGCCCATCGTCGATGCCAAGACACGAACGGCACTGCTGTACAAGAAGGACAGGGTGGTGAGTTGTCACACCCAAACCCCACACGCACGGTTGGATGGATGACCCATGACCCATGTATGTAAAGGGGACGCTCATGCGCGCCTTTCTACCTGGTGCTATCGAGATGCAATTTGGATTAGGACTAGCGCTGGGGCATACAGGCTAGTGCGTAGTAGTGGGAGTTAAAAGATGCCAGCGGAGTTAGTTAGTTAGTTAGTTTCCCCCAGGGAGTATGTATGCACTCTGCTGTGCTCCTGCAGTCAGCCTGCCGTACCTTGCGGCGGTGCGCAATCTTTTCTGGGGAACTAGCAAGGTTAGAACGCGCTTTATTCAAGGTTACGTAACTATCCTAGCCTGTAGCGTCTACTACATGTACGACCTCCATGGAAATAGAAAGAATCTCCCGAGGGAACCTCCCCAGCCAGAATTGACATTTACCTCGGTGTCTCAAGTGACTCACGCGAGCGAACGCCTTACTAACTTGGTTCGGGCCTGCTGGACAGGATGCCTGGGGCTGGACGGCGTGGAAGCGCTGGTCAGAGATGTCGTCGTCCGAGCGCAGTGCCCAGTCGTACAGCTACATGGAGAACTTCAAGCTGCTGTTGGAGGATGGCGCTGATGCGGATGTGGACACGGTGTGCCCCCTGCCGGCCGGGGTGACACGGGTGCAGGCGGTGGCGGACTACCTGGGGGAGATGAGGAAGTGAGCCGCTGTGATGGGTGGGAAGGGCTGGGAAATAGATCGCACCCTACAACTCACATACATATAACACGCTTGCAGGCGGCTAACAACCATCGGCGTCCTAATTGCAAAGGTTCTAGCTTTGGTGCTACATGCATGCTGCTGTGAAGTGACGAGATGGCACGTAGCATACAGTCATGCGATATGCGTAGGAGATTAAGTGAATAAGAACATGTGCGTGTGGCGTTTGTAGTTGTTACAGAGTGGGAGGCCTCTGGGGCATTTGCGCACACATGCGGATGATTTTGCCTTCGAGAATCACCCGAACATCCGTAGAGACAGAGGGTTCAGCAATCGCCACCAATCCAGCGCGCGAATCTCTGCCCATCAACAGTGACCTCAACTCCACATCTCATCAGCTGGCCATAATCTCACACTTTCGACAATGTCAGGTGTCTACCCATGCATCAAACACCAGACGTTAAACCGCAAATCGCAGTGATGTCACGCATGTATGTACGTATGTATGTATGTGGGTGGGTGTTAGAAGGTTGGGGTTGCGTGACCCCATACCTATAGAATAGAACTACCCATACGAGCCGAAGGCCCAAGGGCAATACTACAACGCCTAAAAGCCACGGAGAAAAGGAAGCACGTGTATGTGTATCTGTATGTGTATCTGTTTGTGTATGTGCGCGTGTGCGCGCGCGCGTGTGTGTGTGTGTCACATATCGATCCGGGGCTGGTGCTGGCCAGGGGCACCTAACCTTATCCCATCGGCAACGACCGCCGAAGCACTCCATAATTGGAGGGTCGATATATCGGCCAGCATCCTAACCGTTTTCCCACATCAAATCAACTCAAGGCGCCGTCACTTATTCGAATCCTCTAGCCAGCTACATACACACCAGCTCAGATGCCAAGCAACCTCCGTTCTACCGAACGCATGCCCTATAGCTGCGCGCTCGACCAATGCAATCACACCGGTGCCAATCGCCACCCTGTCCTTGCGAATCCTGCTGCCGCCCGGTTTCATTAACCAATCACCATCTATATATTCTGGTATACAGTCTGGTCCAGATCCTGTGTGGAGTTACTCCGCCACTGCTCTGCGGCAGTGAGTAGAGTGTCAGGGCGAGCTCTCACTCCAGACGCTCAACGCACCGTAGAACCCTAGCGTCTCCAGTATTCGATACCCCAACCTTTTCACCCAGGGGACCAGTGATGGGATCTGTATCCACATATCCCGTTATAGCTAGATACCATCTTTGAGGGTCGAGCTCCAGACTTGCCAGTTATCTAGTCCGGTGCTCTACCAACTTGCGCCGGTTGTGCGTGTTTGTGTGTTTGTTAAATGGTTGGGATTGCGTGACCCCATACCTGCATACCTGCTTAGGTAAGTGAGGATGAAAACCTTAGCACGTGTTGGCCACATGACGGCTGGGGCTCCCGAAAAGGGCAGCCTGTAGTAGCTGGTACACAGTACGGCCATACAAACACGCGCTAAGCGCGATCGCCAGCATCTCGAGAGGCCTTTCCAGCAGCCAGCTACTACATTTGGTATCGAGACCTCGTGAAAGTTCACGATTCTGAAGTCGTCGGATTAACCCCCACCACTCACGCGTGGTGGAATAATGGGATTTCTGCAGGAGTGCCTCAGGCATGTCATTACTGGTGCGCTCATGTAGGCACGTAGGCATGTAGGCACGATGAGCGTATGTACGGCCTTGCCTCCCGCCCTGTTTAGGTACATCCGCGAACACCTGAGGCGCTCTGCGGGCGTCATACTACACTCCGATGAGTTGGTGTGGTGCCTGACTGTGCCCGCGATCTGGAGTGACGCGGCCAAGGCACGGATGAGAGAGGCGGCGCACAGGGCGGGTGAGATGAATGCGTGCGTGCGTGCAGATGCTGATGATACGGGACGAGGTTGGGAAGTCCAGAGATGTCCCATGCATGTCAAGGGCGGCTTTAATATTTGGCTTCGAACCCCGAGAGCACCCCGAGAGGGGTTCTACTTAGTTGGGGGCGCCTGCCAGACTTGATGCATGTATGCTCATCAATAAGCCTACACTGCCTTTGCAAGAAGGGATATACGGGAAATGCAGAGCGGCGCCCCATCCTCGCATCCTGGGGGGTCATCCGGGCGCGCATCCTGTTGGCTGGGTTCTACTTCCTACACACACCCCACCCTTCCCTTATCCTCGAACCGCACATCCAACAGCCGCATCCTGGTGACTGCATTCCCTCCCCTCCGCCATCCTCACCCTTGGTGGGTTGGCATCGACCCTTCCAAACATGCCGCCATCCTGGGCCCCCTGCCATTCTTATCCTGGGGTTCCACATTTCTATCCTACTCTTTTCCTATCCATATCCTGTGCCCAACCCTCCGCCGCATCCTGACCGCTCTGCAACCCTACGGATCTACACTACTGTACCTGCATCCATCTATAAAAATGGAGGAGTGTCTATCAAACGTCCTATGTTATGACTCCATATATTATATACGATCCTCCATATATTATATACGATCTACTTCTTGTTCCTGTCTATTGTACGATGACGCTGGCCATATAAGAGCCCGCAACCGCTTGGAACATACACAATTGCTTGCGTGCATAGGACTGATTATTGTACGATGACGCTGGCCATATAAGAGCCCGCAACCGCTTGGAACATACACAATTGCTTGCGTGCATAGGACTGATCATCGCGGTAGAGGCTGGGTCCTTGGTTTTGACGTTGGAGCCTGAGGCAGCGGCGATGACAGCGGTAAATACGGCTAATGAGACTACGCTGAAAGATAACGACGTGGCGCTTGTGCTGGACTGCGGCGGTGGCACTGCGGATGCGACGTTGCACTGCGTGAGGGGCTCGGGATCTGCTGTACGGCTGGAGGAGGCGGCTGTCGGGCGCGGTACGCACGGATAGGTTACTGCCTGACCGCATTAATGATATGTAGCTTGATGATGTGGCTGGTAGTTAGAGAAAGTATGTTTGGTCGGCTGCAGGCCGCAGGTAAATTGGCAGGAGGACCGCGTGCGTCTTGGCGAAACGTTGCCAATGATCACGTAACAGAGCCTTGATAATTTAGCTAGTATTTTTGTGCGTTTTACAATGAGATATCGGTAAAAACTGCAGCGCGGCAGCGCGAGGTAGTTGATCGCCATGGTGCATCTATCTCCGCCATCTACTTTCCGTCCACAGCGTGCAGCTGCAGATAACATGAGTTATTCCACAAAGGATAAATATTACATGGGATATAATAATTGTTATAGTAAATTACTGTTCATTACAGTATTGGTTCAGCAGATTTACCCGGATGTTGTGCAACGCGCGCGGCCGCGGGTGAAAGCTCTGTCCTGGAAAAGGTATCGGAGCGAACGAGCAGCCAGCGTTCGTTCCACCGGTCTCAGCATTAGGGCTCCAGGGTCCCCCATCGATCGCACTGATCTCTTGTGTGAAGTTTTTTTTGGCCGTTGTATGTTTCGGATCTACAGACCTGTAAATGCAGCTGCAAAGCTATTTTCGTACGTAAGGATCGACATGTTTCCTGCTTTCTCCTGTTCCTCGTTTCCCACAGGTGTTCTGGCGGGCGGTGCACACGTGGACTCCGCCGCCTGGTCGTACATCCGCGACCTGCTGGGTGCACGACAATGGGACAAGTGGAAGGAGGCGCATCCGGACGAGGTTGCCCAGCTGAAGAGCAGGCGAGTAATGTCACTTGCAACACAGCAAACCATAATTAGTATAAGCCCTTCATAGACCAGACCAACGTATCACACTTGATGACTGCTGCCCGTTCGCCTGCGTCCTTTTTATTCATCGGACGATGTCTCGCGGCGGTTACCGCAGATGGGAGCTGGGGAAGCGGGCATTCGCTGGCGATAGCAACCAGCAGCAGCACCAGAAGCAGCAGCAGCAGCAGCAGCGCGACAGCGTGTACCTCCAGCTGCCGATAAGCCTCGTAGATTTATTAGTCGACGCAAATACGCTCAAGGTGCGGGGGGGAAATGTCCAATGGACATTATTATTTCGTTGTGCTCCTGAACGTGAACGTGAAGGTGCTTTGGTGCTTTGGTGGAGTTCACATAATCCAGCTAATGTCTGCCGAATAAATGTACGGCGTGTTACACGCATATGCGTGTCACACCCACCAGCTACTGGGTGCGCAACCACGGTGGCTGCTGGTGCAAAATTTGCTATTCTGCCTTTACATGTGCTGAAGGCCTTGAAGCCTGTCATCCATGGACGATGCCGATACCCACTTAAAATGTATCTGGCCTAACTAGGCGCACTACTAACGCATTACTGTTGTAATGTGTTACAGAGTGGGAGGTTTCTGGGCCGCTTTATCACATTTGTCAATTCTACGATTTATCACCTTATAGCACCATCCACCACTACCACATTGTCCTACGCCATACGAACTGTAAGTCCAAGGCGGTGGATCCCGCCTTCAAGGAGCCCTCCTCATCCATTCACCCGAACATCCGAAGAGACGGATGGTGCAGCATCGCCACCAATAGAGCGTGCGAACCTGATCCATGAACTGTAACCTCAACTCCCCATCTCCACAGCAACCCATGATCTCGCGCTCCCGACCACTTCGGAGGTCTCCCCAGGAATCGAATCCAGGTCCTTAAACCGCTAATTGCAGTAATGTTAATCCAGACCAGACATTGTTGTGTGTATTAGTGATATGTTGTGTCCGCCATACACCTACTGATGCCGCTGTCGGAAACAGGGGCTGTCTAAACCCAGCAGCAGGCAGGGCTGGGTTAACTCAGATCTAAATCTGGTGCTGCCCCCCGAGGTCGTGTCTAAGAGGTTGATGGACTCTACGGTGGACAAGATAACGGAGCTGATGCACGATGTCATTAACGAAGGTGCTCGGCTGGGCAGCAAATGCAACAAGGTACGGTGAACGAGACGCAGTACACACATGTGAATATGTGGGATGTGGATGGGATCATGTCGAGATGCGAGGATGCATGTGGACGCGATTTAATGGATTTCAGGTGCTGCAGCATACCGGTGGTATGCATGTGCAGCGGCGTTAAAACCAGGGTTCTCACGCGCGTTGCGTCGCGTTAAGGTGTCAGCAGAAAAATAAACATGCAGGTATCGCAGGTGCTTAGGGTGTACCTAATGTATTATGACTAACGTTGTATGCAGGTTTTGCTTGCGGGCGGTTTTGCACGTTCGCCGTACCTGCAGAGCCGGGTACGGCGGTCGCTGCCGGAGGGAGCCGCTCTGGTGGTGCCGTCAGACCCAGGGGCTGCCGTCGTGACAGGTAGGCAGGCTGGGTGGAGGGTGAAGGTGAAAACCCTTCTCCCGTGGCCTCTGCGGGGCCCATATCACAGCGGATGCATGGCGGGCGTGTGTGTACTGCTAGCATACCGATAACGGCTGAGGGACTGAAATTTGCATTCATTAAAATTCCGGAACACCTACGTGCCTTACCACTACGGTTGCATCTCCGGATGAAATAGATATCCCTGGCACACATCCCTGGCATGTGTGGATGCAAGGGAGGTTATGCATTGGATACAAGCCCACGGTGTTGTGTGCAGCGGGGTGTTGGGTGTCGCATGTTGTACGTCGGGCAGAATATGATAAACTAGCGACAAGCAGAAGCGCAGTAACGAAGGAGGGTCAGTTGTCGAAGACCTTTCGGGCCGAAAGGTTCTAGGCCTTGTGCAACTACTAGATAGAGGAACCAATTCCATGGGACCTGGACATGTCAATCCAAGATAACTCGTCTCCCATCGTACATACAGGTGCCGTGCTGTACGGAGCTATGCCCATGGTGGTGTCCGCTCGCCGTTCGCGCTTGGGTTATGGTGTCGGCACTACCCGGCCGTGGACCTCGCATGATGCCATTCACGCGGCATCCTTTGGCGCGCCAGAGAAGCGCTGGCACAGCGAGAAGAACTGCTACTATGCGTGTGAGCTAGGGTTAGGGTTAGCTACGTGACGTATTGTCCGAGGCTACCTAGTAGCCGGGGTCCGTAAACTTGCGTGCAACCGCACTTGCGCCGAGAAGTTTTTGTTTGTTGTTTATAATTACACAGGTACTGGCTATTGCCGCTAGGCTCTTCTATGTGGTCTTAATCGCTCTTTACCTGCGTGCGATGAATTATTACCAAGGGAAAAAAGCTCCGAACAGCCTGCGACTGCTGGCGCGTTGTATTCTGGGCATATCACGGGATCTGCATCCGCGAATCGGTATCTTAAGATAAGAAACGTCCTAATGCAACAAACTGCGCTGCTAATAACCTGAGGGATTTTACATATGTGGTTGTTGCCCATATATATATTTAATACATAGCCTTCCGCGTGAGTATCATGTTCTACACTTAACTCGACGCTTTCTGTTGACCCCGACGACAGTTGGCACATACCATCCGTTCGTGAAGCACGGGGAGCTGATCAGCGTGGACAAAGTCGTTCGCCACGGTTTCACACCGCTTTACAAGTAAGGTTCGAATGAACGACATACTTCTGAGCTGAGTCTTCGCATTTCCTCCCTCCCTTACATCCGGAGGCTCTCGTAGAGGCCCCAGGGGGGGGGGGAATTCCGGACAACGCTGTTACCTCCCTAAGTAGGATTAATGGGAGTCTTGCCATTTTACCAACAACAGCTTGATAGTGTTAATAGGGCACATCGCCTGCATCAGCACGGATAGTGCATGTATCCATTCTGAAGTGGGGGGTAGTGGGTGTATATATCCCCCCAGGCGAGGGAGGTGAGGTACCTCATGCATTCAGGTACTGGCCCATGCGTGTCATGCATGCCCTTAAGGAAGTGCAACCCATTGGTGCAACAGTCGGCAGGCAATGCTATCAGGTGGACGGTCTGGGGGCTTTCCTAGCCTTAACAGTAGTGTTTGCGTGTGTGCAGCACGGGTAACTCGATCAAGCGAATACACTGCTGTAACATCGATGTTACTGACTGATATCAGTCAGGCCTAGGAGTCATATGGGTGGATGTTCCCGTGCATGCCTAGATCGTTGCCCACCCAAGGATTAAAATGATCTTCCCTGATGCCCACATAATTTGTTTCAGGAAAGAAGACGCGGGTACGTTCAAGCTATACAGCACCACCAACAATTCGGCACGCTACACCGCAGAGCAAGAGATGGAGGAGTTGGCCGAGGTGCAGCTGGAGCTCCCATATGGATGGTCCCGAAACGTGGTGAACGCCAGTGACTACAGCATTGAGGTCCGTACATCCGTACCCAGGTCTATGCTGCTAGCTCACATGATGTGATGCGTCCTGCTGGCGCTTCTGACTTTATAAGCAGGTTTCGATGCAAATGTAAATCGGTTGGTGAGGATGCAGCCACGGTGTACTCCACACGGGCATGGGACTGTACGTTTAAGATAGCTTTATAACATTAGCTTTAATTCGTTCTGGAGCACGCAGGGATGAATCTTTTGCAACACTTAATTGTTTATTGAAATTATATTATAATAACTTTTGTTGTGGTGTCAGCTTTATATCAACAGTTAAAAGCAGCAACTGGCATTTTGTCTTCCCTGCTGTCCTCCCCCTGTTGGAAGTTGGGATCAGCGTCACTAACGGTGTACTGGACAAACATGTTCCGAGCCGCGCCAACGTAAATGCCCGTGAATGCTTGATTTCCCTCCGCAGGCGGAGATGCGGTTCGGTGCCACGGAGCTGTCGCTCGTGGCGACTGATAAACGGACCAACAACGCCGTCGCGACGAGCGTGACCTGGAAAGCTGACATGACGTAGTAAACTGAACTTGTCTCTCACCGCTTAGACAGGGCTAGTGAGGGAGGGAGGCAGGACATAGAAGCAGGAACCGATACGAAGAGCTGATGCTGCCCTGAAGTACCTCCCGGCAGGAGACTTTAGTTACAAAAGAAGGTTCCTTTAGAAGTATACAGCTCCCTGCCGATCCCATACTACGCCACGTTTGCCTCTTGAGTAATGGTCGTCTTGACTTCTTAACATTTCACAGATGCATGGTATTACGAAGAGGGGTTTTCAGTGGCTGACAGGTGAAACGTCACAGTTAATAAAAATGTAAGTTGAAGTCACGTCTTTCGGTTGTAGGTTGTAGGTTGTTAGGTCATGACCAGCCATTGCAGGGTTAGCTCGCGCGGTCCAAGCTTTACAGCTTTGAAAGCGCTGTGTACTGAATTTTCCGCCTCGTATGCCGTCCTCCTAGCGCATCTGGGCTGCGCCTCATGACTTAATTAAGTCGGACGTCTGCATGTAATTCAATTGTATGTCGTTACAGGATGGTTAAGCTTCCCCCCTTCCCCGAGGCAGTTCCCTGCTCTCCCCTGCTAAGAGGGGCACCCTAATCCGTTCACCCCATCCGACTTCAGAATGTATTCGTTGGATTCAACAACTCACCACCGGCATCCACCCAAATCTAGCGGATCAACGGCGCCTCAACTTAGTTCCTGGTCAGCTCACAAGTTGATATTACCACGTCCTACACCCTCCATAAGATGGGGGGCCACCTCCCATTTCAGTACTTCTCAAACACCCGGACATTCCGGGAGCAGAAGTCAGGCCTCGACTTCTGCCAGCGGCCTGCCAATTGTATGTTTGTTGTTACAGGGTGGTTAACTTCGCCAGCGGCCCCCTTTCCCGGGACAGTCCCTGCTCTCCCCTGCTAGAGGGGCACCCTAATCCGTCACCCCATCCGACTTCAGAATGTATTCGTTGGGTTCGGCAACTCACCACCAGCATCCAACCAAATCTAGCGGATCAACGGCGCCTCAACTTAGTTCCTGGTCAGCTCGCAAGTTGATATTATCACGTCCTACACCGTCCATATGATGGGGGGCCACCTCCCATTTCATCACTCCTCAAACACCCGAGGAGCCGGCAGGCGGATTTGAACCCGGGTCGACTGGGTCGACTGGGAGCAGAAGTCAGGCCTTAACCTCTGCCAGCCGCCTGCCTAATTGTATATACGCTGAGGGGCAATAACGGCGCCGTGCCCATGGCTGTAATGCGCCAAGATGCACATGACACTAGCCCCAGCATGATGTGCTAAGATGGACAGGCGAGTACGAATGGTGCCCGTTCTTTGGGAATACAACGGTGCACATTTTTGAAAACGAGGCATCTCAGATCTCAGCAAGGATAGCTTCCAGATAAACGCTGACTACAGGTTTTTCAGAGAGCCATTAAGCGCCTACCCACTCCCACTTAATAAAGTTTGTCACTCGGGTTCTTGACTTGCAAACCGGCCAGCAAGCCTATTGTGCATAATACATGGCGCCACCGGAGGCATCTGCCTGCCGCCGCTTCTTAACTTTCACATCCTGCATGGGGTGTGCTCGTCGTATTGCGCTTGCCGGACTTGCCGTATGGAAAGTGCGTATCCTTCCATTATTCACTGGTATTGTATTACTACTTTGCCTTCCTCATCATGCCGCATGCGCATGCTCGGTATAAGAAGTCGAGCACTGTACCGCGCACACCCTACGAGGGCTTTTGCCGTTACATATCGCTCCGTTGCGTCATACAACGCGTCTACGTCACACAGAATGTAACTGTCCAACTACCACAGCCAAATCGTTTACCTGGCCGCTCATGGCTAAGACCATAGTTTGTGGGAAATCTGCGTAAAGAACGATGCAAGGGTAAGTCTGAAAGCTCTGAGCATTCCGATTAGATGCATATGTCTCGTGCATTCGTCTAAGCAGCAGCAGCGCTCACGCCTCGCTCCTCAGGTAGGGAGATATAAACTAACGAACTAACCACCAACCGCAATGCCACAATACGATACCGTTACAAACGGGGTTTTCCCGACAGGCAGAAGCGCCAATTTCACAGCTGGGCGCATGGCTCTCCAACCGCCAACTGCTACCCTCCTCCAGGAGGGGTGCATAATAAAGTGGATTTACTGAAGCATCAGGCAGGCGCTGAATCGAAGCAAATGGTGGTGGCGACTGCGTTCTTGGTCTTCACGTCGGTGGCCGCCATGGAGAGCTCCGTGGCGCCGAAACGCATCTCCACCTGCCGAGTAACACGACGGGAGGCGGGGAAAGACGACATAACAGTACATACCGACACACACGCGTAGTTCGCCTCCAGTGAAATGATTCGCCGGCTCCAGAAAGACTTCGGCTGCATGCACGAACTGACACCCAACACGCCCATGCATGTAGTAGCGTTGTGTCAGCATAAATGTACCGCATAGCAGGTAGGCAGGCATGCAGGCATGCAGGCAGGCAGGTAGGTAGGCAGGTAGGTAGGCAGGCGGGCAGGCAGGCAGGTAGGTAGGCAGGCAGGTAGGTAGGTAGGTAGGTAGGTAGGCAGGCAGGCAGGCAGGCAGGTAGGTAGGTAGGTAGGTAGGCAGGTAGGTAGGTAGGCAGGTAGGTAGGCAGGCAGGTAGGCAGGTAGGTAGGTAGGTAGGTAGGCAGGCAGGTAGGTAGGCAGGCAGGCAGGCAGGCAGGTAGGTAGGCAGGTAGGTAGGCAGGTAGGTAGGCAGGTAGGTAGGCAGGTAGGTAGGTAGGCAGGTAGGTAGGCAGGCAGGTAGGCAGGTAGGTATGCAGGCAGGCAGGCAGGCAGGCAGGTAGGCAGGCAGGCAGGCAGGCAGGCAGGCAGGCAGGCAGGTAGGTATGCAGGCTTTAAGAAAGCGTTAAGACAGGCAGCGTTAAGCCAAACCTTATAAGATGAAACGGACTGCGCGTGCGTGCCCTGCCGGTTCAGATGTTGGACCGAGGAAACAGCGCACACACCGCCGATCCTCTCCACATCAGTTTCCATCAAGCAGCCAAGGAGGCCTTCGATCCTGCCCAGTTTCCCACCTGCCAGATTTCCGCTAGCCGCGCCAAACGCCTACCTCCAAGGGCCGGTCTCTCCGCACGAAAAACCCGACGCGGGGCAGCTCCAGCCGGATCTTTGCGTGCTGGTGCGCAGCGGGGTCCCGAGTGTAGTGCGTATTGTTGGCAGTGGTGGAGTACAGCTCAAAGACGGCCTCCGTGCTGGTGCTGCGTGAAATGTGAGCTCGTGAGCAAAGGTGTTCGGGGCAATACTGACTGACAAGTAAAGAGGCAGTACTGACTGACAACGGAAATCGACTATAAATACTGCAAGGAAACCAAAACTACAAGCGAGAAGACCGAGAAAGGGTTGGAACCACGCTTGCTTGCCTGTAGAGTGGGAAGAACTCGTGCCTGACCACCTCGTTCACACCCACCAGCTGACCAGGCTCCACGAAGCTCGAATAAACGTCCCCTGGACAATATTTGCCAAGGTACGACAACATTAAGCCGTACAACTGCACGGCAACCCTCATTCTATCTCATCTGCAATCACTTTTCATTCCTTACACAGGCAACCCTCAAAACACCGTCCCATCACTGCGGCCGGCCGGCTTGTGCCGACAGGTACAACGGCAAAGGCAATGAAGCTCTAGTACAGCTAGGTAATGCACCACCCACGGGCGTAGTAGGTTTGGTCCTCCGTGTGCCAAAACTTCTCTGGGTATCCAAAGCGAGCCGCGTGAACTGCGTCCGCATCCGACCAGCGTCGCGAGCAGCAAACACCGTAGCCGACGCGGGCACGGCGACTGGAGATCATGTAGGGACGGACCCCGAAGACCACAGCGCCTGTGATGATGTGAGGCGAGCGAAGGTGCGTGTGAAGACGCATGGGCCTGTCCCAGCAGAACCCTATTGCCTTACCTGAACCTGAAATTAGTAATACCCGTGAAAGCCGTGCATGAGTCTGCACTGCAAATGCCACTCCAAGGCTCAAGCGACAAGAGGCTGCGGGACGGTCCTGGGTGCCTGGTACCTGAGCAGCTCATCCGGTGCCAAGCACTTGCCCAGCAGCTAAGCTCTCGTCCGCACCAGAGCCCTATTTTCCCCCTCCTTCCATCCCTCCATCCCTCTTTCTCTCCCTGTAGCAAGGCTCCCCTCTCCTCACCCGTCACCACCGCAGCCCCCGGGTCCGAGGGGATGAGCAGCGGTGTGGTCGCCGACAGCGCCTCGCGCACCCGACTCTGAAGGTGGGGCGACCGAGCGAACCCGCCCGCCAGCAGCACCTGTATACACGGCAGGCACAGTCGTCAATATCTTGGAGCTTATAATTAAAAGCGTCTAATGAAACGACGGCCGGTGTTTTATGACAACAGACTACCATGGATTGGCCACACGACCCGGCGTACGGCAACCTAACCGACGTACCTAATCGACGTACCCCACGGCCCTATGCATGGGGAGGAAGTCTGGTTACTATCAGCTGACCTAATGGAGGAAGGGAGCGCGCAGAGCCCAGCCGTTGATTGTCCTAAATCGCCCGTACCTTGCTGCAGGGGCTGCCCCTGCGCCTGCCCTCGTCCATCACATCACCCATCAGCCTCGTGATCTTATCCACCACCGGGTCGAAGAATTGCCTCGCCACCACCTCAGCCGGCAGCACCAGGGCCTGGTCGGCTCCCACCCAGCCGCGCCTACTGTCACCTGCCTGCTGCTGCAGGGCCTGAGGGGTGATGATCGCGACCAAGGGAACCCAGAGTGGGGAGCGAGAAGGCGAACAAAACGTGTGTGTTGTGGGCAGACATACATACATGCATATGGCGTGAGGGGTGTCAAGCGTGTCGTACCAATCCAGGGCACGTGCACGGCTACTGTGGTGCACATCGCATACACGCAACGCAGGCCATGAATCCGTCCAGCCATGAGAACGGTGAAAACTATTAATCAGATCATACACCTCTATTACTGAGTGAGACACCGTATGTATGTACACGTCATCACGTCAAGGTACGATACACAGCGACTTGGCGAAGCTGGGTTTCCAACATTCCGCTCTGCTGTGCGGCCTCAATCTGCTCAGTCTGCCTCCATCGCTTGGTGGTGCCCTCGGGGCCCCGGACCGCTCACCCGTAGCTTAGCATGGCCGACGGCGCTGACCAAGCCGGGCGGTAGCGCCAGCCGAATGTCGTTGCGCTGCACTCCCGCCACCCGGACCAGGCCGCTGGGGAAGGAGCTGCTGCTACCGTCAGCCTGTTGTACGGCAGCGGTTGCGGAGTACGGCAACGATGCAGCTCCCGGCTGCCGGCTGTTGCACAGGAAGGCACGCTTGGAGAGCTCCCATCTGCAGGCCAGACCCATCGCCAGGTAGCTAGCACGTCACCTAGCAGGGGAAGTCGCTTTCCATGTTCCTAGTAAGCCCTCAGGCCACAGGCTGCTAACAGAGAACAACAGTTGCTCGTAAGGAAACATGCAATCACAGCGCAGCTGATGAAGCTGCAAAACAACGGGTTTCAAAACGAACGGATCTCCGGCAAGGCACCGGCACATGCTTGTATCTTCCCTGCCTCATGAAATGAAATGTGGAGCGACACGACTTACTTGCTCTTCAGCTTGGCAACCTCGTCCGGATGCGCCTCCTTCCACTCGTCAAATTGCCGTACACCGAGCAGGTCGCGGATGTACGACCACGCGGCGGAGTCCACGTGGGCGCCGCCCGCCAGAGCACCTGTGGGAAACGAGGAACAGACACCACCAGCAATGGGAAGACAGTGTTTTCGGAGCGCACATTGGACCGTTTCGTCAATGGCATGCTTGTGACACGCTTCCTAATCGCGTTATACCGTTCATTCTCTTTTGCTACATATGCGCATGGAAGCTTGGGTTCGCCCCTCTCGCCCCTTGCCCACCGAAGCTGTCCTAGAAGTTCACCATGCGTGCTCGAGCACCTGGGGTAGGGAACTCTCTTCTTTGGGTTCTCAATCCGTACGTACGGTGCGCGTACGACAGGTCTGTTGATGAAGCCCTGGGGACAAAGCAGCTCGGACGTGATAGCCCCCACCCCTGGCGGCAACCCCAGGAAATGGTTTTCCCTGACACCCCACATTTATCCACCTCGCCCCACTGCCGCCTCCTCCAGCCTCATCGCCACTCCCGAGCCACGAACTCGGTGCAGGGTGACGTCCGCCGTACCGCCGCCGCAGTCCAGCACCAGCAGCACGTCGCCGTCACGCAGCCCGCTGGACCGGGAAACGGAGGCGGCGACAAGGAGACCGCTGATGTCGACGGAGTTCAGCCCGCCGCCGGTCCCGGGTGTTGCCGCCTCGCCCATCGTGACCGCGGACAGCGCAGCCGCCTCGGGCTCCAACGTCAGTGACAGAGAGCGGGAGTCCATACGCACCGTCATGCCTGTGTATGTACGGCGAGGACAGCCGTACAGAAAGTACGACATGCATGTGGATTCTGATGCCAAGCTTCTTCTTCACGGGACGGTGATGACCTACCACCTTTCTTGGCTCGCTAGCTACCGAAACGATTACACACAGATGGAATGCAGCTAATCGAATGATCCGCCAAGCACTTGATCGCGCTCTCGCCCTGTCCTACCCGTCCTAGCCTGCCTGCATGCGGAAAACTCACCCGCCCTGTGCGCCGCATCTCTCATCCGTGCCTTGGCCGCGTCACTCCAGATCGCGGGCACAGTCAGGCACCACGCAACCTCCGAGGACGTCAGGCTGCTGGTGATGCCCGCGCTGCGGCGCAGCTGGTCGCGGATGTACCTGGGTACGGAGACCGGGGCAGGGCCGGGAAGGGCAACGGACACAGCCGACCTTCTCGCCCAGCAGGCGGAAATCTGTGAGCTAGCTCTCCAGTTAGGAGGGCAACCTAATAATATAATAGCAACTATCAGCTACGTGCCTCGTGCACTGAAGGCATACAGCATCAGGCATACAGCCCGGCCGTAGGCACTGCCCCCCTCAAGTGCAAGATTGCTTGGAAGGGCCCTTCCTATTTCTATCAAACCATTGCTCACTCACTTCCTCATCTCCCCCAGGTAGTCCGCCACCGCCTGCACCCGTGTCACCCCGGCCGGCAGGGGGCACACCGTGTCCACATCCGCATCAGCGCCATCCTCCAACAGCAGCTTGAAATTCTCCATGTAGCTGTACGACTGGGCACTGCGCTCGGACGACGACATCTCTGACCAGCGCTTCCACGCCGTCCAGCCCCAGGCGACCTGCCCAGCAGGCCCAGGAGTTGTAGAGTTCAGCTAGTTCCGGTCAATCAACTAACAGATAACAACTAGCAATGCTGCAAGTCATGGGCACCCAAACTAGGCATGTGCGTGAGGGCCAGTGGCGGGGTCGAGCGCTCCCAGTTGTAGTGACTCACTCACCACCCGATTGCCCTGGTACAGCAGTGCCGTACGGGTCTTGGAGTCGGGTGTGGGTTGGTCGGGCCAACGGTCGTGTGTGGAGACGCGGAGTGACGCAGCTGAGCTCCCCCCTCCTCCTCCTCCCCCTCCTGCCGCTGGGCTCCCGAGGGCGGTGGTGGCATCCGAGCTGGTGCTCTTGCGGTACGCGAAACCGGAGGCGTAGGTGCCGAAGTCTATGCCCACCACAAGCGCCGGCGGTGCTGCAGCATCGGCCACCGCGGGCTGCGACGTGGCAACGGCAAACGACATGCCGACGTGCTGGCTAGCCTCAGCTGCTGCTGGGGCTACTGCTGCCGTAGAGAGGGGAAGGGTACACGAACACGAACCGACTAAATAAGCTCCCAAGTGAGAAACAACCGGTTCGGGCTTTTGTGGGTGGGACGAGCGCTATAGTACGAGGTTGCTTGTGCCAGACAGGAACCCCGCAACTATAAGACCCTGCCTTTTTATGTCCAGAGTTTCGGGAAAAAGAGAGAGAGAGAGACTTCATCATGTGTCAAGGTTTGGGCTGTTGTATCCGAGGGCCCCTAAGATGGAAAAAACGTCGTTATTAGTAAGAATCCGATTGGGATGAAAAGCGCACCCGTGCCACCACCCGTGATCACACCCATCATTTAATTTCCCTGGGCCCGGGGAATTTAAAGGAAGATAAATTGATCCTGGCGAAGTCGCATAGACGGTTGAGCGGCCATGAGGTCGGCCGCTGGGAAGGGTTGAGAAAGCAGTGCCGCGGCGAAATGAAGCACAACAATATCTGCGTGCGTTTATATGCGTCTCTCGGGTCAGACACCCCAGACAGTTGGCCGCTTAGCCAAGGTCAGCGGCTCCTAGCTTGGCTGAGCAGTTCCTAGCCATGTACGTCTAACCGCGAACTGCAACGCATCACGCATAGCCAAGTTCAGGCAAACCGAAGAATTTTAATATCTGTTTGTAAACCAGGCAAGGTTCTTGCTAGGTCTAAAGACGTTGTAACGCGAACTTTGCTTGGTGTTGGTGCCGCATAGCCAAGTTCAAGCAAACCGAAGTCCTAATTAAGCTGCAGGTCAATTACACCAAGGAAAGCTTAGAAGCAAGGAAGTCATAATCCTTGCGAGGAACGGAGGAAAAGATTTCGCAGAGGTCCCCAGAGCACATTTGACCGGTGTGTTGTCCAGACCGAAATTGCCTTAGTCCCATGCCGTGTTTACTTCACCCGCACAGCAACTTGCTGATGGACGTTGACGGATGGTGACATGGACAAAGGTCGCGGACGAGGTAGAGCGGGGAGCGGGGAGGCGCTGGGGGAGACAACAACGAGGCGGCGGCCGTCAATAGCGCCGGGTAGCGGTGGGACTGTGTGTGGGCTAGCAGGAGCTGGGCGGCAGCGGCAGTGCGGCGATTTGGCAGTGCGGCGATTTGCTGGCAAAGCAGAGTGCCGCACGGCGCTTAATGGGCGAGCGTGAACGCATTGGTTTAGCTGTCTGTGGATGCGTGTGGTTTCGTTGACGTTTCCTGGGTCTGTTCCCGTTGCAAATGGAGCCATGGCCGCCAGCACTCTTCCCGATGTTTTGCGAGTTATTTCCGCACGTTAGACTTCATGGCTTACATTGGCTCGCTGACATTAGTGCTGCGCTTCTGGGTACATGATGAGGGTTGGTTACCGTTGCTGGGAGGAAAACCTGCGGAAGGGGGCTGCAACGCCTTTTCCTCCCGTCTTATGTTTGAGGGGACTTGATAAAGATCGTTGCTTCCGGCTATCAGCGAACGGCGGGGAACGAAGCATGAGCTTTGCATGGTCGAACGGCATCGCAGAGACAGCCAACTTTGGTAACGAGGAGCACCCATGCATTGGAAATATATTATTATTGGCGCAAGATGTTCTGTCGCAAGCTTGCAGCGCTCACTCCCTAGACGACAAACCGTACACCTATTCAGTAAACTTTGACATCTCTGCTAGAGTCAAGTTGACGTTCTTTGTCCTCATAAACGTTTGTTTTTGCATAAAGCTGTTCTGTTTACGTTTTCTTTATTTTTTTATCGTCGTCGCTGTCAAAGCAGTTCATGAGGCTCCGGGTTCGTTTGAGCCGTACGAGCTCGCTGAAGCTTGGAGCATCCATCCATCCATCCATCCATCTATCCATCCATCGATATTCAAGTGTCACGCCACCTCCTGCGCACAGGCAAGGGCAATCTGCGTCTTAATCTTTTAGGGTAATGGATCTAATTATGGAACCAAGCCGTACACGTTCGCTCTAACAGCAAACTGTTTGGAAAGGATGTGCAGGAAATCGATTCCTTACTAGTTACCCTAATTATCATCTAGTAGCTTTACAAGGACGTTGCGCACATCTGAGCAGAACGTTTTATGCATAGTGCATTGAGACAGTGCGTTACACTATTAAGGCAGCTTCTCCAGTACACATAATTTACGGATTGAGGCTTCTGTTATCATGACTGAGAGTGTGGCAGTGCTCGATTATGGAAGCCGCTGGCTAAAAGCTGGCTGGGCTTACAACTTTCCAACTGATGAGGAGCCTCGCATTATGACGCCAAGCGCTGTATATGTTGATCAGGATGGTACAGCTGGCAAAACTGCAGAGCCCAGCAGTGCATCAGAGTTGCACCACCCTATACGCGCCGGCAAGATCACAAATTGGGACGAGTTTGAATCGCTAGCTCATTACACTCTGTACGAGCTACTGGGCTGGGAGCTTGGTAACGAGGGTAGTATTATGTTATGCGAGCCCCTTTTGACTGGCCGACCAGATCGCGAGACCATGACACAGCTGATGTTCGAGGTGTTTAATGTCACGGGGCTGTTCTGCCAGGACCAGGCTGTGCTTTCCCTGTTCGCCTTTGGCCGCACCAACGGTCTTGTGGTTGACATTGGCCACGACAAAGTCGACGTTGCGACGGTCACTGAAGGCCTGGTCAACCCATCCACCGTGCGCCGGCTGGAGTACGGCGGTGCAAACCTTACACGATACCTGCAGCAGCTCACGAATGACGCGCAGCGGAAAGAACAAGAACCACAGCCCAGCGGCGACGCCATGGCGGTTGATACCGCCGCTGGTGCCAGCAGCGGCGCAGCGGTGCAGCAACTAAGCGAGGAGTCCGCCGAGGCGCTCAAAGAGCTATGTATTCGCTGCGCAGATAGCGAAGCCGCCTTCAATAGCGCCATCACCTCACCCTCTCCTGAGACCTTCACCCTGCCGGACGGTCAGGCCTTCACTGTCCACAGTGAGGGCCTCCGTCTGGCTGAGGCCCTGTTCCAGCCCACAGCACTGCTCGGCGTCTTGGGACCAAACATCGCGGAGGCCGCAGTCGACAGTGCCGCCTGCCTACTAGAACCGCTGCTTCGCAAGCTCATGTACGAGAACATTATTCTGGTCGGCGGTGGCAGCGTTATCCCGGGCATCTCTGCACGCTTTATCTCTGAGGTCCGCGCTCTTGTGCCCATGTCCGCCAATGCCGTTCTTTGCCCGGCGCCGGAGTACATGCCTTCGCCCAGCGTCCCGCGCGATGCTGCCTGGGTAGGCGGCGCTGTGCTTGCAAAAGTGGCCCAGATCCAGAACCACTTTATCGTCAAGGCGGACTATGAAGAGGCAGGGCCCGGGGCCGTGCACCGCCGCTGCACTTGATATGGCAGCGAATGGCCAATAACGCTCACCCGCGTTCCCGGCAGCTGCACAACAACGGTGGCGGTGGTGGCGGCTGAGCCCCGTACTGTGAAGTGGTCGTTTTCTGCAGGGGACATGTACGTCAGCATGTGTCGCGGCTTAGCGGTTGTTTTATGTCTTCTGCCTTTGCGATATCAAGTTGTGCTGCTGCTGCTGCTGCTGCTTCGTGAACCTCTTGGACAACGCCGTAGCTTGCAGCAGGGGTGGGTATCCCAGCCGGCAACGCGAGTCAGGCAGCAGGCGGGATTTGGCTGGGCGTACCCTGTTGGTTGGGACTATGTTGGTGTGGGGATCTAAGCAAGATAGCTTTCCTGCACAGAACTCGGTATGAGTTTTCCTATCCTAGCACGGGAAGTTGACATAGTGGTTAGCTGACTCCTTGGTAACGTCGGCCTTGATGCGGCAGCTTTTTGGACCCAATTTAAGCTCCCCCGAATGGGGTTAGTTTGCGGGTCGTCGATCCAGCTGGCCTTCATGTGATGCCGGGGGCTCGTAATCTGAGGCTGTCACCAATCACGGCTTCATCTGTCCCTCCCCGCCTCTGGACATCTGCGCCGCATGGATTATGTAACCCGAGAGGTGAGCTCATGGCGATATTGTGACAGTGGTTGCTAAGTTGCTGTCACCTTCAGCAGCATGCTTCATTAACCGCCGGGGATTTCTTGTGATTTTGGGTTGGGTTGCCCCTCTTATCTTTTACATGTTAGCGTGTTGGCACCACTGATTACCATCTGATGCTACCATGACGTTCCTGAAGTACCTGCCGTACCTGCCATACTGCCATCTGTGCCTTCGCAGGTTGTGGTCTGTGACAGGTGGGGCTACATTGCGGCGACTGCGTTTCCAGCCAGCAGGCCGCTCACCACCAACGCCACCACCAATGCCATCAGTTACCGTGCTGCCCTATCATCGCCTGTGCTATCGCATTTTATATTGCCAGCATCCGTTGCTAACTTAGTGGAATGATCCTAACGTAGCGCGTTCGGCGCAATGACCGTGGTGCCCATCCGTTATGTCGTGCTAATAGGCTTACAACACCTGAAGGGGCGATTAGAAGTTCTGCAGCGTGATGAGGAATGAGGCTTCTTCGTTGGCAAGAGACGCAGAGAAGCGCGATTAGGCGCAGCCATAGTGCTGGTGATGCCAGCCACAATACCACACGCGGATGCAGCCCCAGTCATATTGGGGGGTTGTTGACGAATGAATGATGGTGGTGTCCCCTTGCAGTTCTCCTCGCAGTCCTGCTGTTGATCCAGACAAGGGCCTGCTAGTCAGCTTGTAGTCCCAGCACACCTGCAGGCCGTCCACTGGTGCTCGCATGCGGGACACGGAACGCAGTTTTTGGAAGAAAGGGAAGAACCATTACCGTCGCGATTGTCATGGTTCCTTTAGCTAAGAGGCCCGAGGTACTTATGCGAGTTACGTGACAATTGTGACAATGTGCAGAAGTACCCTCATGTATGTTAAGAAAGGCATGAATCTGAGAGTCCGGGGCTGGTTTCCCTCCTTCACAAGCGCCTCAGTTTTCGCGAGGGCTGTTAAATAAACGCCTCAGTTTTCGCGAGGGCTGTTAAATGACAGAATGATGGAAAGCACGGTCTTGTTTTGACGTTTCCGTACGGCGTTGGAGTTCCAGTTATGGATGCCGTGCTTATCGCGTTGTCTTCTGTTAACTGTCCGTTGTGAATAATTAGACCACTGCTATTTGGCGTATTGCTACGGAGCATATTGGTGGCTGGGTGCATCACTTGTTGTGGTAGCTGGCATGCCAGGTGAGTATGTAAACGTGGAAGGAGTGCCGGCGTTTATGGATGGCCGTTTGTGGACGAGGTCGATTACGGACCCTGTCTGCCTTAAGCGGCAGGAAACAACGCAGGCCGTTACCAAAGGTGCCAAGGCATACATGCGGAGCTGTGCAGTGCTTTTGCTTGCTTGCTTGTGCACACCAGTTGGTGTCTTGGGCACACCATGCAGGTAGTCCCCACGCGTGCTGGCGCAGTGTGTCGGAGAACGCAATTCGGTCCCATGGGATGTGCGTGTATATGTATGTGTGTGTGCATGTCTGTGAAGATAATTGTGTCCAGATGCGAAAACTGTAAATCCTGGCGCATCCTAGCGCCCTCCCTTGATGCCGCAGCATCACTATGTGTCATTTTTTGTTCTTTTTTTGTTCTTCGCCTCTGTCGCGGTTGTACCCACTGTCTGAGGGCGCGCGCAACTAGACCGTGTGCCACCTGCCTGCCGTGAACTATAGCATCCCGCCTCGGTGCCTCCATACGGTGCCTCCGTCGTCACAAGGTAAAGCTGCAAGTCCCGCACAAATGCGGGGCCGTCGATAAAAGCCGGGGCCGCCATGGACGGTTAACTAACTCACTAACGGACGATTATTGTTGCGGAGCTTAGCGAGGACGTCATAATGCGGCCTAGAACCTTAGGAACCCGCTACGGGCTCGTGAAGCGTTAGGCATGCTTGCAAATAGAGAATTGAAGGACGGACGACACCATACTGTATGCCAGTTATTCAGCCATCTGTTATGCATTGGTTTACGGCGCTTGGTTTCCTGCAGTACAGCTGGAGCGTTTTGGAGTAACACTTCGTATATCGTTCGGGTAGCTCAGCAAGCTGAATGGGTATCCGGAAGTGGGCCCTCGATGCGTCCTTTCAGCGGTTTCTACGATACCAGCTAGTCCTCACAAGCGCATAGGGGCTTAGGTGGGTTTGCTTGGGCCATGCATGTTAATGAAGTTGATGGCGGTGTGTTGCAGTTGATGGTAGTTGACGGCGAGCAGATAATGGGACATCTAAACCGCTACGTCGAATTTGTCGTACGTATAGCACAGCTTTGTGCGCTTGGAAAGGTTGGAAAGAGGACAGCCCCTAAACTAACACCAGGAGCAGTTCTGCACCGTCGTCAATTCCAGGAGCTCTGTTGACATTCTACGGAGATGTGTCACCTCGAGGAGGGGGGTATCACTTGGCAGCGCAGTGTGGTGCAAAGTGCGTGTCTGTGGCCGATGGCTAGTAATGCGGAGTCGTCTGCATCGGCTTTTACGATGTGGGATGCGGTATACATCAGCGATCCTTCTAACGCATCGCAGAAATATGCATTCATGCTGTAACGTGTTCATGTGGATATGTTCCGAAGCGTCAAGCCGGAGCCTGCTGCATCAGAGGTATGCAGCCAGGAAAAAGCTGTGGTCGCAGGGCGAGGTGCGGGGTGGGACTGGGTAACCCTGCTTTGCCGCAGCGCCATACTCATAGTTGTCCTTATGCAACGAATTGCGGGTCTTCTTCTTTTGTTTTGTTTGCGGCAGATCCGCTGGGGACGCAAACGCGCAAGAGCTTCCTTCCTTTCTTTGGACAGTCTACCGAAAGCATCTTATAAGATAGGGTAATTTACCTTGTGGCTGCCAGTTCAAATTAAAAAACAGCATTGGAGCTGCAGTGATTCGCACGGCGCTCGTCAAACAGTGACGTGTTGAGAAGGCTCAGGATCACTTTTAGATTGATGATTTATACAATACAATAAATAAGTAGCAAAGCTTGGAGGAACTAGCCCCGTAGCGCCGACATTGCCTGCTTGCGACGAAAGGCAAAGGAGGGCAGCCAGGAGACAGGCGCCTTGTTCATGCGCAAAATTAGGTAATATTATATGAATATGAATTACGTCCAAATCGCATGCACATTGCATTGCAGTTTTTCTTTCGTAGAGTTGACTAGACGACGGCCCAAGGAATGACAAAGCGCCGCCCTTCAATCGAAACGCTCTCGAAGCTTGTTACCGTTAGTGACATCGTGCTTCCGAGACATGTAGGGCCCGACGAAAAATGTACCACTGCCTAACCTGAATTCAATCAATTCATTGGATTACTTTATACTTAGCCGGTACCTGTTGTGCGAACAGTTTGCTGCATGTACCAGGACGCAATTCATAACTAATTTCTGGTGTAGCTCTCAAAGGACACACGACCGCAAAACTGTCTAGTGAATTGCCTGTTTGTCGGCTACTTTTACCCATACCGCATATAAAATAAGCTCTAGAATGCCGACCGGTGGATCTAGCGGCGGCAGTGGTGGTCGCCACCACGAGATGACAAAGGAGGATGCGGCCCGCATCCAGTCGACTCAGGCGCGCGAGGGCCACGACGTCGGAAAGGGCAGCTTCCCCGCGCGCGCACAGTCCGCGGCTGATCGTCACGAGGCTGAGCATATGCAGGAGAATGCAGCTGCTGGTGGCGGCGGCAGTGGTGGTCGCCACCACGAGATGACAAAGGAGGATGCGGCCCGCATCCAGTCGACTCAGGCGCGCGAGGGCCACGACGTCGGAAAGGGTAGCTTCCCCGCGCGCGCACAGGCCGCGGCTGATCGTCACGAGGCTGAGCATCACCGGGTTGGCAATGCCTAACGGGTACAAGCTGAACTTTCTACATCGACATGCCCGAGCGAGCATCCTTTACGCAAGAAGCTAGGCAGGCACGGCGAAGGAGGGTTCATCAATTAGCAATCACCGATCGCACATAACGCTATCAACATATGTTCAGGGGGCCCTGGGTGGTTGGCGAGTTGCCATTTCTGCCGGCAGCGCATTGCAGTAGGGGTGTACAGTGTACAGCATAAAATTGTTTCGACTAGCTAGCCTCACTCTGTTACCCGATTCCTCCTACCTGCCTGCTGTAGTGGTGTGGGATAAAAATGTGTAGATCACACTCAGGTTGGTGACAGCCTTCTCTTGACATGTCAGGATAGGTACAACAGGGCCAACACATTGTCTCTGTACCTGTATCCCATTCGTCAGGTGCAGCATGCCCTGCCATTCACACGTACACTTGCACGGTGATGGCCAGCATACGAACAATGCGTGTGTGCCTGCTGTAGGTTCAGGTGGACACGTGCAGTCACGTGCTGCCAATCTTGCTGTTCATTTGCTGTTCATTTGCTGATCTTTTTGGTTGGCATCATTCTGCAATGGCTAGGACTGCTGCAGGTGTTGGCGGTTGAGTTGGCGAGGCATCACGGAAGTAGTTTCAAACCGTTCGGGGGGTACGGCGTCAGCTCTGGTAGTCAATCGCAGAAGCACTTGAGCCTTCGGCTTGTATTGGGCGGTTGGCAGGTACGGGGAACGTACCCCACGACCATGTAACACACATAGAAGCGTTCTTGTCCTTAACAGTTAGCTCGGGATGCTCCCATGGTACATGAAAGCTGCTGTTAGCAAGCAAGCTGCTGCACCGGCTGCACAAATCCCGGTATGCTAGCTTTCGGGCTAGCTTTAGTCGGATATGTAACTGCAAACTTACGTACTGCTTGCTTGCAATGTGATATAGAATAGCGCTCGTGTCAAGGCAGTTGCTCTTTATCATTCATGGTGGCGCTTCAAGTTTGCTACTTGATGCATGTACTCAGCAGTCCGGGGCGACCTCTTGTGCTGTAGATTCATGCTGATCACTCCGGTTCAGTTCACCGGTGGACGTGTATGTCTTCATGCAGCAACAGTTATCATCTGTGCATCTTTTCCCGCAGCCTAACAACCAAATGTTATGAAGGTCAACAGCAACGTAGACTAGCTTACGGATGTGAGTAGTAACTAGGGTGGGAGTTGTGGCCGGGGCCGTATTTAGTGTTCACCAGATAAAAACTTTGTGATTGATCACGCGCTTACAGATGCAGTGGACGAGCGCCTCACCGAGCATTTGCAAGATTTCTGCGAAGATAACATGTCTTAGGTAACGGTATTTAGAGGTTATAATTTCTATCAATCTCGACATCATACTCGACCATTCGCACGCAGAAGCCCATTAAGCGACTGCCAGCTCCCGCCTCATAGCATGTGTGCAGCGATTGCACTAACCTTTTAATCACCACCGAGTCTCCCGGTGAACACGACCAAGCCGTTAAACCGCGATAGTGACTCTGTGCGGAACCTTCATACCGTTCGTACAACGTTTCCGCTAAACCCATATCCCTCTAGATCTATAGCATCAGCCAGGAGATAAGAGTACCTTTTATGCACATTACTTCATAATGTGCTGCATACTGCGAGATAACAGTTACACTTGCAGGGAAAAAATAATCGCAAAAGATAACCTTTTAGATCCCATGATAGGAAAGCGATTGAAGGGCCCCGGACAATTTTAGGCATCAGGAAGCGATATTACAACGGGGACCAAGAACCAAGTCGGTCACTAACCGGCGGCATTAGGCATTACAAGCATCGACCATTAACACGTGTTACCCCACAACTACAGTTGTATGATATTCAGCGGGAGATCATTCATGCAGCAAAGCTCTACGCGCTCCTTAATATTGAGCCAGAAGACTGTCTCGAGCTTATTGAACCAAGCAATGTATATCTAATTTAGTAGGTAAATCAGCTTCACAACAAAATGGATCATGTACCGGGCATTAGATTAAAGCACATGGTGCTCATCTTTTTAGTAGATAGCCCCGGCAAACTCGGCCACTCCGCTCTGCACGGGGCTTGCACCCTGGCTGACATGCAAAACGGCGCACACCCAGATCATGGAAAACACATGGGAAACGGATTGGGGCTCCCCTGATGCCGGGGCCGTGTAGGGAACTCCAGACTTTAAGCTATATCAAATCACTTCGAAACATAAACAACCATCCAACTCCTTCAACAAAGGATAACTAACTTTACACGAATTAGCACCCAACAGGGTTTTATAGCACCAGCCAGGCTACTTGTTGGCTGCTTCAGTTCACACCTGCGAAATAGACCTGCTTGTCACATACTTCATTATCAGCATACATTAATTAGTGCAGTGCCATTAGGTACATTCCTGCAGGGGACACACTAACAGGTTTCAGCATCTCGAGCACCTATTTAGCAGCATCACATTATACCACTGTTGCACAACAGGCCAGACAAACAATGGCATGGCGGCCGCTCGCTAGATATATCAATCCGACCAAATGCAGATATTTATCAAGCCGGCTAAAATTCAATGCTTTGCACAAGCTCCGAAGCAGGATTGAAGGTGGGCTGTGATTGTGAAAGCCACAAAGCCTGCCACTCAAACGAAGGACCATCCATCACAGGATAGGATGCTTATTCATTTATATGCCGTACATAATGTACAGCGTGTGTTATTCAACAATTCACCGGATGGAATAGATAGTTGCACAGTGAATGCATGGTGGTAGTGAGTAAGCATAATAAAATCTTGAGTGTTTCTCTTCGTTGCACATCCACTTTTTTCCCAAATGGTGCTCAACCATGACTACTCCTAGGCCGGACACATCGGCCGTACCTAAGCTGCAATACATCACGAGTCAAAGCAGAAATGGCCCCTGGACAACTTGATTAGGGCAGCAGTAGTAATACGGGAGTACACCGACCCGAGCCTGGTGTGTATGAGTTGAGGGGGCTTCATGTTAAGGGGGAAATAAACTTGGGCGGCATTTCTGCGCCTGCAGTCCACACTGTACCATGCCCCGGCGGACACATGCATCATTAGGAGAACTCGCATATGGGTGCGGGGCCAGGGGATGCACTCCCCACTTGCATGCAACGTTGACACAGGAGAGGCACTTAGGTATGTGCACTCTGATTGGCCAGCCAGCGCCATTGGCCAGTATGGATTCATGCGGTTGACTCCTACGACATGTGCTCGCTAGCTCGGGTCGCCGTGTACACATGCACGTGCACTATGGAGTAGCGGTGGCTTGGGAACGGTTGACATACATACAACATACACCGTGCATGTGGCAAGATAAATCCGCAGGATTCCTGGAACCTTTTGCAAACGTGTCCAGCAACCAATACGGCCAGGAGACATGGTACATGCATGTACACATATACATACATAGTGGAGGGGGAACAAAATGCGTGGCAGGGTTGTATTTGAAGCATGTGCATATATTACCGTGGGGTTGCGTTCCGTGTTTTTTTAATTAAGCGACGGACGTAATGACCACCCCTCCATCGCTGTCACCGCTGGTTGGCAGTACGTCGTCAACAGAAGCGAAGTCCACTTCAAGTGATCGGCGGTTGGTGACGGGGGGAAAGACGTTCGCCAGATAGTAGCTATCTCCAATAATGTTTCCCGGTGGTGCGTACCGGCAACTAACCACATAACAGTTCGTGCCCCGCGCTGCACCACAGCCGACTTGAGCCGTCGAAGCCCACACGACTTGAGTGAAGGCCCCGATCTCTGAGGTTTGACCTCTGTTGTCCGTGTACGGAGTGCTTGTAAACTTGTACAGCACATTCTTGTCGTACCATGCTTTCACTGCCATACTGCAGTTTAGGGGAGATGTCTGGCTGAAGGTCGAGATAGTGAACAGAATCTCACCGCCGACTCCTCCACTGACCAAACGGCAGCTGTTGTTGAGCGCCAGGTAAGAGGCCCAGTCCTGCAATCGGCCGGGTGCACGTGCAAGGCGACGTTACAGCAGGCAGCACCGCGGAAGGTGGCCAGTAAAGTGAAGAACGAAGAAATGACAGATGATGCATGCTATGAACAACAAAAGTTGCAGCATGTGCATGTGCATGCAATGTGGAGCAAGCTGCAATGATACAGTGCTCATTACGGAGTGCCCCCAGCACATCCATTGCATGTAATCATCTGCCTCCACGCTACACTACTGATGTGATGCTTTCCCCCCACCGCGCGTCGATATTCACAAGCAGCAGACAAACACTACACACATACGCGTGCGAGCGTACATACCTTTGCTTGCTGTGCGAGGGTGTTGTTCCAGCCCAGGGCCGGCGACCCGTGCCGTGCACGGTACTGGTTGTGCAGCAGCAGGGCGGCGGCAGGGTCGGCACAGCCTGCATCGGCGGCAGCAGTGGCGACGCCAACATTACAGCAGACGACAACAGTGGGGTTTTAGGTAAGACATGTATTACCGCCATGTGGTTCGCGGGGGCAGCACAGGTGGTCCGGTCGGGTCCGGGATAAACCGTATGTAACATTCCCATTCATTCAGCTGGTGACAGGCGCATGAGTAGTCGGTGGTGGCTGCAGGTCGGCTCGCCCTTAGCGTAGCCATCTTGAAGAACAGAAACATTTCTTCAGGAATCCGTTGCAATTTATCCCTTTCGGACAAGTCCTAATGTTACCTTAAGTGTCCTGCGGTTCATCCACGGACTGCAGCTTTAATTTAACTTCATGTTTTGATTCTTAAGCTCTAAAGCAGATGTATAGCCCCTACATGTCGCAAACACTGCTTAGCAAAGGATAAATCCTAGGCTGTTTAGCCGGCCTTCCAATTCTTCCGAACGTTTAGGCCTATCACGGAGCCCTGTATCTAGATTGCAATTGCCAATGCCCAACCACCTGACTACAGAACAGCCAACTTCGCATGTATGGTGACGACGTCTCCAAAACTCGCCCTCGCCCTTGGCACTATGTGTAAACCAGTTACATGGTCGCGTGCAGGAATAACCATCTCTGTATGTGTGCGCGTATGTGTACATGCCTGTATATATGCCTGTGTATATTTGAGTAAGTGGATGCCAAACGAGTCTGTTGGTTGATGATCAGGGGCGGGCTATCTGAGCAGCTGCACGGCTCTGAGTGTAGCTGCAAGAATGCATGTGCTGATGGGTACATAAATACCGATAGATGCATGGATGGACATGCAACCGCCCACCACACAAATGCACGTGTGCACGCATGCGCATCATGTTGGGCAGCGATTTCTATTTGCGTCGTGTTGGGAATAAGAGCCACTGTGCGTGAGTGTAACTTGTAATGAGCATATACAATCAGTTGCGCAGCACAGCGGTTGCTAGCTAGCTCACCGCCGATTAGGGCATCTCCGGGAACAGGCGGTGGAAATGGTGCATTAGGAGGCCTGCAGCAGCAGCAGCAGCAGCAGCAGCAGCAGCAGCAGCAGCCAAACAAGCAGCAACAGCAGCAGGTCCGCGCATTGGTTCAGCCTCAGCGGGTATGTCTTGGAAAACGAGAGGCCCAGCAGGCATGTCTTCCTCTTATCATGTTGCCAGTATATTGCATACACAAGCGGTAACGACCAGCAAAGCGCCGGACTCCCCCCGTCCTATTACTGCTGTCACCATTCTCTGGTACATGAGTGTCGGTCACTTTCCAACACAAGCCAAGCAGGAAGTATGGATGCAAAAATTCGTGTTCGCACAGAGGGCTAGCCACCACACACATACAAGTGCATGTCCGGAAACATGCAGCAAGCAGGCAACAGGCAGGATGGAGCAAGCCGGAAAGGTCGCAGCAAGATTGTAAGTTAGCGTGCATGCATGGAGGTGGTGTGGAGCATGCAGTAGATGCATATCCAGAAACATACGTACGCGATGCAGACTCCACACGACTTGCGGCACCAGTAGTCACGGACGGATAAGTCTCCAGCGAAGTATTTGGGATCACAATAGCCGCCGGCTTTCCAGTCCACGCAGTTCGACAACTGGTCAACGCATCTGAGATGCATGGGACAGACGGCAGCCACGGATCATCAAGAACGGGGATGGTCTTGTTTATCATTTCGCACCACAGATAACAAGCGCCGGACGGAAGCAAGGTAGGCAGATGACATTCGAGCACACCCACCCGTCAGGAGAGTCAGGCAGCGGCAATATAATGATTGCAGGAGGTGCTGAAGGCTATGCCGGTGGACTTATACGAGCATGCTTGGTCAACTGATTAGCGGGTTATCCCTGCATGCACCCACCAGGCCATTAGCCGCTACTCACTAACATAATATCATTGCTAGTAGCCAAAATAAGTCGATTCAGCTTGCTCGTCCTAGCGCTCGAAAAGCACGCTGAGTGCGGGTGCGTGGGTGCATGGAAAGTTGCAGAGCAAGGCCAGCACCCAACCGCCCACGCGCTCTAACCAAGCACTTACGACAGTGGTGGTGACGGTGCTGGCACCGGCGGTGGTGGGAGCGCCTCCCTGACAAAGGTGGACGCACAAGCCAGTGTGATTCAGTGAGGGCCCGGGTGATGATGTATGTTGCCATTGCAATTCATATCGTTGCTGGATATGCATCATGGCAGCAACAGCCCCGAGGGGACAGAATGTTTAGAATAAGGCAAGGCAAGGAACAACACAGGCCTGTAGCAAATGTTGCAGCGGTTGTACAGGTAGGGCAGACATATCGTCACAAGCCAACTGAGGGCTTATCAATAGGAATTCAGGGCATCTCCATAAGCCCTTTCAGCAACCAGCTACTGTATATCTCACACAAGCATCTGCGACCCATTATGATGATCACGAGCACCACACCATTCCCAATCACGTTCAGCAGGGCACCGCTTGCTAAGGGCTACAATAAGCATACACGCGATTCTGTACATGTGGGGAGTGGTGAGCCGATCATACATGAAGGAAATTGCGCAGAATTGATCGCACACGTGATCTAAATGCGTCGTTTCCCGTCATTAACTATCGTATGAAGAAAGGGCATACTTGTACAGAAACGGCGGACGGACATGCAGGCTCGCCAGCAGCAGCAGAACGAGTCGCTCGAGCGAAGTTGAGAGATGAGAGATTTTTTTGGGCGTTATGACGACAGACAGACAGACATTCCAAAACTTCATGACATACCCGACGCAAATTCCACAAGTCTTGCGGCACCAGTAGTCAGCTATGGACTGGTTGTTGGCAAAGTACATGGGGGTACAGAAGCCGTTGGATTTCCAGGTGGCACAGTAGCTCGCCAGCGGCTCCTGATCAGCGCAGCTGTGAATGTACATGTGCACGTGTGTGTTGTGCCGTAGACACGTGTCATGGGATTGTAAGGAGACCTTACTTTAATAAGCCCATGCATCCTGTATGCGCTAACATGATGAGGACTATCACAAATGCTAATACAATCTCGTCGTGCTTCACGCATCCTGTGTGCATGCATCCACACATCTATAAATGACATGGCGCTTGTGTACCTTGTGTGGTTAAAAAGGTGATTCAATGCTACCCACTGCTAGAACATTATGGCAAGTAATGACAAAGACATGGACAGTTTGTTTGTCCTAGATCACGGGAAACATGCTGTCTGCCCGAACACTTACAGCAGCTGTGGTGATGGTGCTGGCATCGGCGGTGGTGGGAGCGCCTCCCTGCCCCAGGGTGTATATGTAGGACGATGCAAGGCGCGCAAGGAGGAGCAAACATAAGAGAGCCCAAGCAAGGAAAACCAGGTTAGGGACATCCACCAAGACGGCCACCACCAGCACCACACCCTCGGCAATCATGTTCAGGATGGCATGGCACGTGAGGGGCTAGTAATCATCCGAGCTACATGCAAGTGTATGGTGGGAGTGATGAACCGATCATACATGAAGGACATTGCGCAGACGCAAGCGCGTTCCCAGGCATACTTGCATACGTAGTTCTTGCATACGTAGAACGCATGGATGGTTAACCCTGCAACAACGGCAGCCTCCGGCAACAGCCGCCAGCAGTTGCATGCACAGGCAGCAGACAGCTACGGGCTAAACACTTGTGCGGCTATTTACGTCTGTAAAGTCTTATTGTCTGCAGAGCATGCCCTGGTGGATTAGGTAGAGGCCGTCACTGTCTATCATACTAGGGCACAATGTCCTGTGGTACGTACACAGGGTCATGACATAGTAGATAGGGCCGAGAAATAAATGGTTTATAGACCTATGGTATAGACTGGTCTACAGATTGTGCCATAGTAAACAGATCGGCCTGAAAAATAGATGTTATATAGATGCTCGTCCATTTTAAATACATGTAGACGATATTAAGGTGTAAACGCTAGCTCGTTATTTAACTACCCGGATAGAGAAAGGCTTAAACACGGAATGGACAGACAGAAGATGCAGGGAGGTCGACATAAGCTCGCCGTGTGGTAGCTGCATATAGACGATTTGTGTGTATGTGTATAAACGCGCAAGTTTCGCAAGCATCCATAAGAACCTTTTTAGCGACCAGCTACAACAAATGGTATCGAGACCTCATTCACGTCTGTGACCTGAACCCTAATTGACTCTGTGCATGAAAAATAGAGAAGGCTAGGCGCATGTGAGCCGGCACATGACGTGATGTGGATTGGTCCCCCACCACTGCCCGAGGATGTAGGAGATGGCAGGTACAGGGCCCATGACGCGGATCCCTTAAAAAGGGGAGGAATGTAGTAGCTGCACACAATACAGCACACAGATCAACTGTAAATATGCGCAAAGGTGCCCCACCAGCATATATGGCCCATTCAGCGGCTAGCTATGATACGCTGACAGCAGCAGAGCAAGTCGCAGGTTGATGACAGATAGCTAGATGGGCGTTGTGATGACAGGCAGACATTCCAAACTTCATGACATACCCGACGCATGTTCCACACGTCTTGCGGCACCAGTAGTCAACTACGGACTGGTCGCTGGCAAAGTACATGGGGGTACAGTAGCCGCTGTATTTCCAGTAGGAGCAGGAGCTCGCCAGTGGCTCCCGATCAGCGCAGCTGTGAATGTACATGTGCACGTGTGTGTTGCGCCGCGGTCACACGCATATAATGGTATGTTGAGTTTACAAGCAGCCGCATTTAATAAGGCAACAGGTACGGTGAAACAAGCAAAGCAGTAGGAGGGATTCATAAGAAGCAACCCCGATTCCTGAAGTGATGGTAATAAGCCAATGCTGCAGGCGCTAATAACGAGATGAGGGCCAGCGCAAATATACCCCATGGCGTTTGCTGGTGGTACGATATACCGCAGGCTTGGGAGTTTAAAAGCCGCAATCTCCCCATCAAAGCACATTAGCGGCGGAGGCCATCCAGTCCGCAACGGACACACACACACACACACACACAGCCGAGGCTGGATCCAGTATGCATGTACTGCTGGGTATTCCTTGTTATGCTTCACGCCCCTTTCATAATGCACATGCATGCATGCATGCATCTGCATACAATGAATGATATCGGGCCTGCTGCATGGCAATCGTGTACACTGTGTGTTAAAAAAGGCAATTCAATGCTACGTATACCCAATGCTAGAACATTATGGCAAATAATAACAAAGGACATGCACATTTGTTTATCCTAGGTCACGAGAAACATGCTGAATGCAAGATGTACAGTTTCGAGTTTGGCCAGCAGCCACCAAGCACTACTTTGCCCAAGCACTTACGGAACTGGCGGTGATGGTGCCGGCACTGGCGGTTGTGGAAGCGCCTCCCTGGCAACCGGGCGGCCCGGGGCATGGAGAATAATGATGCGTGGCGAGCAAGGGACAGCAAACAAAAGAGAGCCCAAGCAAGGGGAACCAGGTTGGTGACATCCTTCAAAACGGCCACCACCAGCACCACAACTTAGCAGGGCTCGGCTTGCAAAAGGCTAGTATGCACCCTTGCACTCACATAGGAATGCAACCTCCTGCCCGTAAATGCAAACCTAGGATGTTTTGGATCGCCTATAAGCACCAAGCTAGACAAAGGCTTATGAACGAAACGGGCAGACAAGCATGTAGGCATGCAGGCTCGCCAGCAGCAGCAGAGCGAGTCGCAGGTTGATGGCAAATAGCTAGATGGGCAGAGCAATGACCAACGGACGTTCTACAAATCGGAACGCACCAGACGCAGGTTCCACACGTCTTGCGGCACCAGTAGTCAACTACGGACTGGTTGTTGGCAAAGTACATGGGGGTACAGTAGCCGCTGGATTTCCAGTAGGAGCAGGAGCTCGCCAGTGGCTCCCGATCAGCGCAGCTGTGGATGTACATGTGCACGTGTGTGTTGCGCCGCGGTCACACACATACAATGGTACGTTAGTTTGCAAGCAGCCGCATGTAATAAGGCAGCAAATAAAACAAGCGAAGCAGTGGTAGGTATTGAAACCCCAAGTAGCCCCGACTGCAGAAGTAATGGTGATAAGCCCACACACACTGCCGGTGCTAACGACATGAAAGCTAGCGCAAACACAACAACATCTTTGCTTGTCATGCTTCAAGCCCCCCACATATGCACACTTCGCATGCAGGCATGGAGACACACAGAAAACGGTGAAGGCGCTAGCATTGCAATCATGTACATGATGTGCTGGACCTGGTCCATCATGGACAGTTCCTGCGATCTGGGCTAGAGGACACATGCACCCATACAGCTAAATTAACTCGATGGTTCGTCGGTGCGTTTGTGCCTACATTGAGGGGGGTGATGGAGACACCAAGGGTCGCGGAGGCGGTCGTGGTGGTGGCTGCGGCTGTGGCGGTCGTGGTGACGGTGGTGATGGTCGTGGTGACGGGGGTGGTCGCCGTGGCATGGGCGGGGGAGTTGCTTTTACTGGTCTTGGAAATGGCCTAGGTGATGGTGGCTTGGGAGAAGATCGCGGTGGAGGCGGCTGCAGCGGAGTTGTGGCCCGCAATCGACGTGTAGAGCCCGCAAGCATGTGGGTGCTCAGCTGACGAAGTACCTCAGCGCTTTGGCTTTCAGCGACATCAGCAGCCTGTAGGTATGCGGCGGAGGGTCACCGCGTAAGCATAGCCTTCGGCATATCAGTATAGAAATTTTATGACCTTGCGTTTTCTCCTCGACTCGTATCTTGAATATGCATGGCCCTCCCTGTCTATATAAAAAGATATAATCCGCACCTTGGTTATTACAGGGCTGCTGCTAACGGATGCCGCAAGGGCCCCGCTGATCAGCAGCAGAACGAGCAGCGACATAACAGCTGAACACAACTGGAGCTCTTAAACGTATGATGCTCAACTTGTGCACTAATGTGATAGGCTCAAAGTGTGCTTTAAGTGTGCTCCTACTGCGGGAATCCGCTCCCGGAAAGGCAGGACAGACACTTCGTTATCCCCCTGCAACCGTATATACAGATAATAGTACACTTCGTTCTAGAGGTTATCATAGTGGTGGCGATGTTGTCGATGGTACTTTGCAAGCTCGCATCAGCTCGTAAGGCCCAGACAAGCCAGGAGATACCGTAATGCGT